CCCCAGGCGCTTGAGGCATCGCGTACGCAACACACTGCGAATGTGAAACGGCTTTCCTGTTTTGTCATCATAGACCACAAATCGAACATATCAAGTTACAGCACATACCAAGCTAGTGAATTCAGACATCTAAGGAAGTCGCCAGGCGTTGCCCCAGGCGCTTGAGGCATCGCGTACGCAACACACTGCGAATGTGAAACGGCTTTCCTGTTTTGTCATCACCGTTTTTCGCCGATGGAAACAACAATACGCGAAAGCAACGCAAACCATAACACCGGAGACCCGGAGAAGGCCAATAAACCGACAGGGGAAAACACACTTCAGACATCTAAGGAAGTCGCCAGGCGTTGCCCCAGGCGCATGAGGCAACGCGTACGCAACACACTGCGAATGTGAAACGGCTTTCCCGTTGTGTCATCATTAAACGCCCCTCGATTGTAACGTCACTTCAAATATACACCAACGGGACACTCAGCTTTGCAAAAGGTACACTGTTCAGAAAGGAAGGAAGAGCACAAGCGGCAATACAGTGAAAAAGAGCTCACAAGTGCATTCAACACAATGCAGACTCTCGCCGGCTATGCGCACAGACGCAGGGAACGCAAAAAAGTGAAGTCCGCGCCCCCGACCGCCAACGGCCATAACACAACAAACCACACGACAAATGAACTCCAAAACATCCCTAATACTGAGGATAGCCAGAATAAAACCATACGGAACGTCGGCTAAACGAACAACTCCAAACAAAAACTACACAGCAACGAGCGGGAGGCTCGGCTGCAACTCTGCTGAACGCACCTTCCACCTCATCTTCGCCCTCGACTTCTTATATCTGCTGGCACCGTGCGCCATTTTCGGAAAATTGGTAAAAAAAGCAGTGGAGATAAATATCCCGTCCTTCGAAGCACCGCCTCATGAACCCCACGGAGCCCCGCAGCTGCACAGCTGTGAGGGGGGGAGCCCTGCAGCGGCAGCTGCTGCGGCTGCCCCCCACAGAAGCATGCAGCTCATCTGTTTAAAAGAATAAAATGACAATGCATAATGCTGTGTCCCAAGTAAAACGCTTAACTGTTTTTACATGGGCTTTTACTCTTCTCCTGTGCTAATTTTAGAAAGGCGGACAGGTTTTCAGTCCCAATTATTCGCGTTATTGCCGGACATCACAATTGTGCCCTGGTGAACTTTAGCAGTACGCGAACCCCACCTGGCACAGCTGCATGCTTAGGCTTTGATTAGGAACACAAGCAATTTTAATTCTGATTACCACACAGTGTTGATAAAATTTAAAGCTAGCTTTGGAACCCTTTTTCCCCGCCCGACTCGGAGCTCTGGCTGTGTCGCGGATAGTAGCGTGGCCTGTCTAAAGTTCTTTAGTGAGCACGTACTTGGGAGCCTGCACGCAAGCAGAACAACAACATGTGCCTGAAGTGCGGGGACAGAAAGTAGGCGGCGGCTGGCTTGCGCGAGCATGTGATTGCCTCCTGCACCATGAGCTGCGTCGGGGAGCGTTGCACCTCATGCCAGGTCACCTCCCCTGGAGTGAGGCGCTTGCCCGCTGTGCCCAGAATGCCCGGGTACTGGAGGCAAGGTCAGCGGCGTTTTAGGAGCTTTTAGCTTTAGAATTTTGGCTTGATTGCCGCTCCCGACGGTCGTCGGATGGGACCGAGGACCCTTGTTGCACGCAGTTAACAGGTCATAAGACTTGGAAACATAGCCTAAGATGAGTATTGGCTCAGGCGGACACTGGCCACAGCATGCATGGCGCATACTGTGTGCATCTTGAGACTGCAAACATGTCATGATAGCACTACTGTGGAAGGAGAGCGCGCCAAGACTCGCCGATCTTAGTTACGGACCGTCCCGAGATGTAATGTGGTCAAAGAACTGAGGTGCGGGTTCCGTTTGCATCATATTTTCATGTAGCGCACGAGCCTTGAGCTGATGCGAAGAGGGGGCGTGCGATACGTTCTGTTTGAGGCTGGAACATGCATGTGTCCTTGCGCGAAGGCATCTAGGGCCAATGTGTTAAAGAATTGTATACATTGCTAGTTTATGAAACAAGGGGGCGCTTGGCTATGCTTACCTGCGCATTTCACTTGCAGAAGTGGTTGCAGAAGGGAGGGCTACAGCATATGACGGTAGGCCTCCTCTCCTCACCTCCTCCAGGCCCTTGAGTCACTTCGTCCAGGACACCTCGAGACTGGACTGGAGATCAGATATTCTAGCGGAGTTACTTTAACATGACTCTCTTGCCATTCGGGATGGTCTCGGACTAAGGTTCAGGACTTTGATTGCCTCTGGAAGCAATACATGACTGAGGGGGGAAGCACGCGCATCGAACCCCACAGATGGGTGGCCTGGTTTATGGTACTTGCTAGTTGAAAAGCCACTTTGCGAAATATAGTAGGAAGAAAACTTTCCCACGCTTGCTCCATAAAACCTTTGCCAGAGCTTCAGCCGTTCCCCGCATTCTAATGTTGGAGATTAACAAGGGCCTGCGTCCCAGCGCCGGCGAGAGCAACATCCGACGCCCTATCAGAAATTAGAACGAGAGCAGTATCATCAGCGGATCAAGCCGAATAAATCTTTACTGCGACGGCAGCTCATAACCCAAATATGGCGGGCACTGCGGTGAGGGCAGTGGACGGTCACTTCTCTGGAGGCGTATTTTTGCCTTCAAAATTCAGCCGATGAGCTGCAGTTATTGTTGGGAATATCCTTTTCAAAAGGGTAGGTATGACATTCGCGGCTGCATCGAAGCCCTGCTACTTACCAGCTGAAGTCTCTGCGACTACGTTCCGGCAACGGCAGCCGGGACACAATAATCGATAAAACTGTGTAGGCAGAATGCAGGCTCAACTCGGATATGTTTGATATTAGCATTGTCTATGCTGGACTAGTCTGCCACTACATAGTCGTTTTCCAACTCTCCGTACCAACCCAAAGGGATGAGATAAAACTGAACAAACACGGCTTCGCTGCAGCCATTTGGATTCCGAACTAAAACATCTTTCTGTGGCGTACGTTTACACTCAGCGAGTAGAAGACTTAAGGCTTAATAACACCAAACTTATGTGTGCTTTGCTCGGGGTTCACAAGCGAGCAACCACTAGAGTAGTGAGAGCACACTAAGGCCATTGTCCTCCTTCGCTAGCATTTTTCAAAGCTATACGACTCGACCAACGACAGGCAGCACGAATGATCAGGAAAAGATGCCGCAGTATGTTTCAGAACCTAACTGCAGACAGCTTTGCAGCAAGAAAAACCGGCCGACCTTCCAGAACGTATTGAAGCTGCACGAGCCTAACAAGGAGCTGGGTGATAAGAATGAGCAACTAAAGGCCTAGCAACATGTTTCATGATCATCGTAGCATGTTTCAACAGCTAATTAAGACAAGGACAAACATCTCCTGAGGTGGAGCCGTCTCGGCAGCTCACCGCAGTTCCCTCCGACCATCTAATCTTAGGTGCTGCGATCCCCAAGGCACAGAATTGATAATAAATAACAAATAAAACAATAAAACAACCAAGTATAGAAGGCAGGGGCACCCCTCGACGAGGAAAACAGGTTTTGCAGTTGCTCGTTTCCGAGTGGTTGCAGTCCCTGGCCACCACCACCCGAAGCCGCCTTTGCCAGCCCCATTTGTAGGGCCTCTCTGAGTCCATTTATTATCGAATCGTTTTTTTAACTTGTCCTGTTCCCTCTTTTTTCAGTGATTCCGGCCATTTGTAGTGCCGGGCTTTGCAACCTGTGTCATTAGGACACGCGCTTGGCATGCGATGACTTTAAAGCGGGCGTAAACATTTAGACGCAGAGCAAAATGGGTTATTTTTCTCGTGGTCTTCGTTGGGTTTTTGACGTTTCTAATCCACATGACCCCAAGCTGCGAGGGTGGGTGCATCCTACGTGCGCCTTGGCAATCAATTTGAGCTTGGCTCTTCTCGTTGCTTGCGCTGCCTTCTTGGCGGCTCCCCCAGCATTTCACGAGGCCTGGCTGCAGCACCAGCCCCTTACAGTAGTCCATTTCACACAAGGTGCTGTTTCCCTCCTTCAGAGCTCCAATGCAGTTGGCCTCTACCGCGTCTTGCAGTGGCTAAGACAAACAGCTGGGCAGTTCCTGCTGCCCGAGAAGTTGCTTGCCTTCGACCGACAACAGGCCTTTGCACTGTATACGTGGAAAGAAGAAGGATTTGACCCTCGTTATCTTGGAACTCTTCTTGCAATTTACGTCGCACTTATGCTCGCCAGCCGTTTGTACGAGAAGGGGCCAGTGATGCTCTACGACGCGGCCTGGGCCTGCAACTTAGCCTTACTTCTAACAGCTGCTGGTGAGCAAGCAAGTAGCCACATGCTTTAGACTCTGATTGCCATTTCGGATTTCTCGCATTGGAATGTAACGCTTCATCCAGAGGACGGGTTGCGGTGTCTGCGCAGCGCTGTGGCTCAACATCCCCTTCCTCGTCAGCGCTTGCTCCTGCTGGGTAGCTGTAGGTGAGGGCTCTGTCAATAGAAAAAAAGAGCACAGAAGCTGTCATGTTCTATGCGGACACGTCATTTGGTGGCTATATATGCGCGGTCTGCCTCTTGTGAATGCCGTTTGAACACGGGCTCATCAGTGAGCGAGTCAGTTGCTTGCGCTGCTTGCAGACCAGCTACTTTGGTACGTGGACTGTATTTCTTATGTAGTGCGTGGGCGCTTCCTCGTCGGCGTTGCAAAATACATTGGAAATAAGGATACGGTGAGTGCCAATGCATTCTAGAGCATGTGAGGCCCCCATTTGGCCTTAATCGCGTCCATACTAACAACTGCATCCACTTGTAGAGAGCTAGAAGCAGTATGCTGCGGTATACTGCTGCTAGCTCTCTACAAGCGGATAAAGCGTGCAAACAAAGGTGCACCATATAGTGCGTGTTCCATTTGCTTGCTGTTTGTGTGCGCCGCAGCCTTGGACGAAGAAACTCTTCTCAACGCATCACCTGTGGTTTATTCCGTTTACCACCTATATCAATCTGAAGTACGCCGCTGGGCACAGTCCGTGCTGCCTGTCAGTGTCCATGTTTCTCTCATTCCTGTGCGTCCTCGGCAGCCGCTGCTGCACCCCGTATGCAGTCTGCCACCCCGAACGCCGGCTTCCGAATAGCAAGACGGAGGGGAGAACAGGCGACTCAAGAAGCGGCAGAAGAACAGAAAAAGGCACCATGGATGTGCTGAATGTAAACGTATCATGGCGCTGTTGGGCAGATGTGACGCATCACCTACCCTTCCTCGGTTTGTTTGATGACAAGCCGTGGTACATGTTTGTCGTGTGGAATCAACTAGTGTGGGGCCTTGGGAACTGCTTCCTCTTTGGCCTGTTCCTAGCTGCCTCCAACCTCCTCAGACACTGACTTTGGAAACCTAATCGCTTTAGATGCTGCCCAGAAGACACTCTCGGCGTCAACCATTGTCACTTCAAATACAGTGAACGCTGTGCAGACGCCTACCGCAGGCCACGGCAGATGGCGCCGGCCCCAAGATCTGTAGCTACCGAGTAAAATGAACACAGCGAGTGCTCTGCAGGTTCAATCTACACCGAGAATGTGCTTCCACCTCACTGGGTAGAAAAATGTGCTAGGCTAATTATATCAGTCGCAGCCTTAGTCTAACGATGCACACGCAGCATGATGCATCCCCGTTGACTTAGTGCTACATTCAACTGATGCCAATACTTTGTTCCTGCTACAGAGCTGAAGCACCCTTGCTTGCAAATTAAGCCGGGCCGTTCTACCCGTGAACTTACATAGTCCGTGCCTCCCCTTCCGCGGCGGCTTCAAGCTGCCATCAGTTGACGGGACACAGGAGTCCCACGGGTGCATGTTCAGAGGCAAGAGTTTTGGAGTCGATGTGATAATCAATCAACGAGCTCCCACAAACCCCCGAAAGGAAATGAATGCAAATGCACCTGGACTGTATAGAAGCGGTAGTGAAGACTCTCACACAATTACTTTTCAGCAAGGAAGACAATTTTGTCTTCGGGTATGTCGAAATTTTTGAGGAGGAAAGCGGCTATGGTCTCCTCAACGTCCCCCTGATGACGAAATAACACAAACAAGCCGAATACGTATGTGCTTCAAACCAACACCACACTGCACTGATGTTCTTTACCACAACAAGCCCGACGTTATTTACATCGCTAAGGTGGCTGAGGGTGATCGAAATAATGTTCGTAGGCTGGAGGGAAAAATAACAGTCCCAACGCATCTGCATGCGCCTGCACTACAGACCTACTTGAATTTCGACAAACGGCATTTGGCCAGGCTGCCCTTTTTGAAATGAAGATCCACAAGCAAAATGCTTGCTCGCAAGTTTCGCTGCCTGTTCCTGTTTGACGCCTGCGGCACAGAATATATTCCGCAAGATGTTCCCTTTTTAAGTCAGCGAACCACAAACTGCTTTGTTCGTCGCTCATATCTTTTGTACGACCCAGGCTTGTGAACGCACCGAAGTGTTCAAGGCCCCACACGTTCGTCGCGCACTTCCCTCTTCGCTTTGCTTGTTTCTGGACAGTCACAACTTTCTGCGAAGCAGCGACAACGACAGAAAGAATGCGCTCCTATATGTATGTGCAACAGCGAAAGTATCAGTGAGAGCGGGAGTGCAAACTGTTGCTCATCGCTTCCGGTGTTCCTCCTATCTCAGCACATGAAGCACCTGAGTTCTAAAGGTTCACTGGGACAAAGAAAACACATCCTGCCCGTAAAATCTCTGCTGGAACAGGATTTATAGGAAGAACTTATATTCACAGACCTTAATATAATGACATACTCGAACACCTAAAGCTCACAGATATGCCATATCCTCTATATGCAACTTTGCTACCCACTGACTCCATTCCTTCAACAAGCAGCTGACGGCTCACCGGTTTTGCGCCATCCTTCTTCCCTGCGCCCCGCTTTGCATCGCTTATGACGGCCTTCTCCTCTAGCTCGTTTGAAAGTTGCTGCTCGTGCTCCTTCTGCTGCAACGCCGACGCTTGGCTGCTGGGGTCTTCCTGCGCGTCGGGTTGCTTTGCACAGGCGGCTCCCGAGTACTCGCAGTATTCAAACGGCATGCCGCAGGCTGTTCATGAGATGAGGCCACGCAGCGGACACATGTAGTATCAGGCATTCAGTTGGTATGCTTATGCTGTTTTCTGGGGCTGATGAAGAAGGAATTCCGGTTTCACGGACTCTGTACACTTCAGGGGGTGGCATTGCAGTTTAGGAACAGCAGCAGCATCTACCGCGTGCAATCTTTGCGTTCTAATGACAGCTTACTTGGACAATATTCAACTTTGCACGGACCCGTCATCGGGGGCTGCTGGTCGTGTTCCCAGCTGTCGCTAGAGCGGTCCGCGCAGTGCATGTCCAGGTTTGTGGGCACCTCGGCAGGAGCAGTATCCGTGGGCGTGGCTGCACTAGCCATTCCCGGCTGTTTATCTACCTGCTGTTTCTGCTGCATTAGCAGCTTTCTCCTCGCACGGTTGCTCAACTCCAGCATCTCGCTACCGCTTCCACTGTCGTCGCTGTTGTGAACGTCCATTGTCTTAATGGTAGGTTACGCCGACAACAAAGCAAACCGCCATGCTAAGAAGACAAAGTCGAACTGTCTGATGGCTTTCGAGCGCTCATCGCAATTATTATACTTTGGGCTTGTTTAAGATGCCCCCGCCGTTGCAGCAGCCGCGCCTGTGCATGCTCGCTCGTCAGCTCGGTTTTCGGAAACCCGTGGGAAAACCTCTATTCAATTTTTGCCACATTAGCATCATAAACACTAGGGAATTGTTGCAAATTAAACCTCACGAATGATTTGCAGCGTAAAGCAGCCCGAGCTCCCACCCAGGCAACTAACCCCCTGAACTCCCCGCCCGCCTTTTGGCCGCCCGTGGTTGTTCAATCGGAGAACACCATTGTAGCGTATTAGTCTTCTGTATTCACAACAAAAGAGACGGTTTTATTTTTTCCAACGAACTGTGTGTGAGCTATTAAGCAAAGTCTGTTTCGTCCTTCGGACGCTCTCTGTCACTTGAGATTGCTTGAGTTTGCTCTCCAACTTTCACAGGCAAGCAGCTGCTGCCCACCGAGCCGGTGCTTCGGGCCACCGGATCTAATGGTTTGTAGGCACATTTCCCACATTTTTGTATTCGTTGCTGTTTCAGTGTTTATCGACGTTATAAGCAGGTGTTTGTGGCTTTCGGCCTTGTGCGGCATCCGCCTGAAACCCGAACGACCGGGCACACACAAGCTTCAGGTGCCCAGCTGCGCCGCGGCGGGCGAGGAGGATTTGGCTTGCTTTTACCCTTTAGGCTTCGAAAAACAACCTTTACTTGTACACCCTCGCAATTGCGGAAGGAGGAACACATGCAACCGGGGGAACGATACGTGCACAGGGCAACTTCGGCGACTGGCTGGCTATCTCACTCACCACCGCTCTTGCAAAACGAACCTACCCAGTTGAAGGACAGGCGAAGCCCTGGGCTTCTGCTCAATTTGGTACGGCCGGTTGGAGTCCGTGTGTCAGAGTCAGTTGCAGCTGTTCAGAGAGCCGATGCTGGCGCTCGGCTGGTGGGTTAGAACAACGCCCAGGCTACGAACTGGTACAAGGACACGGCGACACATGGAAACAGCTGCGGGAACTCCTGTGAAGTGACTCTCTAGAAGGGAATTGCGTCTTTTCACACCAATAAGGCCTGCCTCTACCAGAAAGACCGAGAAGATGGGAGATGCGGCGAGTCGCTTCACCTCTCCTGCACCACTCAATCCGCAGAAGCTGACGCCTAAGCAGCTGCAGCAGCTCTTGAGCCACTTTGGTCTTAATGAGGTGAGGCATATTTTTCAAATGGTTAAGGTAGGCAGAATTTGCCTACTGTGGTAGCGCTGTACTGCCACTTTGCCTACTACGGTGGCGCTCTGCTGTCACTTGCGTAGGTGCAAATGCGCTGTGCAGATGTCTCTTCCGCGTGTTTTTCGTGTGTTTGTTTTTGTCTGGACACAGCTTTCTCCGTCCAAGGCGCGTATATCTTTGCTTGGCTTCGTCCGAGCATTCCCTGGGGTGCTGCAGGGGCATGCAATGCTGCTGCTGCCGACGTTAAAGGAGATAGCGCGGCAGCAGCAGACGCACCCTCACGCCCACGGGCTCTCCTTTGCGATTCTGAGCAGCAGCAGTTTGGCTCCTGACAGCGGTGGCAGCGTATCTACAAGCATCATGGGCGGCCGCTGCGCAAATAAGAATAAGAAGCAGGTGGAGGCCTTAAAGACGGCCAACAGCATCACATTGCAGGAGGTCGTTGACTGCATTTCTTCTTGCTGCTCGGGTGAAGCCCCAGAAACGGAAGTGCTGCTCACGGAAAGGATGCTGGGGAGGATTGCAAGGAGCTTCGAAACCCTATCCTTCTCTGCAGAGGAGTACGAACACGTGCGGCAATCGCTTGAGTCCATTGGGGGCCTCTGCATCGACCCCAGGCTGGCAAGGTAATAAATTGTACACACATCGTCATCATCTTCATCATCGTCATTGTCGTGGAGTCTGTGCTTTGCTTTCGGATGAGTCGACAACAAACATTCATTTACTTGGCTGCCTGCTGCAGCTGATTTTGGTTAAGATCCTACTTGCTGCTTGCAGGTGCGAACGCATGGCAATGCTTGCCTCATTTGTTCACTGTCGTCTGCGTTTTGTGTTTTTTTTGTTCAGAAAAGCGTCGATTCATCGCAGTGCAAGTGGTAGCGTCAGCAGCGGCAGCAGCCGTCGCAGCGTAACATATGTTTCTCTGGGGTGCAGCACTCGCGCTTGCTTCTCGTTGATGCAGATGCTGCAGTACGGTTACTTAGAATTGATCTACTTGCTGAACCCGAACAGTCTTATCTTTCAAGACAAAGTGGCACGCACCACAAGCGGCCTGAGCTGCAACCAAGCACAAGAGCGCCAGACAAAGGGAGTAACAGCTCGAGGCGTGCATACGTCTTCAGCGTGGGACACGGTACCAGCCCTCACCTTAGTGTTCCCCAAAGAGTTGAACTTCACCTTCGCGGTTCGAGCCATGGCTGCTGCCTTTGCGGAGGCAGCAGCACCCACCAGCATCCATGCAGCCACCCCCACTGCAGCTGCAGTTGCTGCAGCAGCCGTAGCAGTCACACAGATGGGAGCGCCTCTGAACAACACCAACAGTAACAGCAGCGCCGTAATGCGCAGGGGAGCCAGCAGCACGGAGCTCGCCGCCCAGGCTTCAGGCGCCGTTCTGCATGCAAGCTCTGGCACAATCGGCAGCGGGGGTTTGCGCAATGAAGTATTTGCTGTTCTCTCGTGGATCAGGGCTGCCTTGCCGGTTCTCCCCTCTCTTTGTACTCTCGGAGTAGCAGCACACCTTCTGGGGGACTCTGTCTTTGACGGGCAGCCACAGCCAGAGAGGAACGATTCCAGCTTGGCCGATGTACAGTATACAGTGAGCCAATAACGTCATGACCTGTTGCCTTTGCCTTGACTCCTTGCTTCACTGGGACGCGACGTTTTATCTATCATTCCATTGTCCGCTCTGTTTACAAAGGCCCTGCTATGACTCTAGCAACAGATGCAAGTGATGCCAGTGGACTTCTTCTTGCAATGTTGTTCTTTGGAGGTTTCACTCGTCCGTGGTTACTGCATTTGCCAGTCAAATGAATGCTTCTGTATAGTTGTGGTGTGCCTCTGCAGGTGTATGCACCGCGGCGCCGCCAAGAGAGTCGATCGTGTGTGCGCGATTCAACGACTGGGCGGGGGAGAGGCGACGGGGGCGCAGCGATCGGGCAGCCGAAGTCACCGGCGTGGAAGCGAAGCCCCAGTGCAGAGGCGATTTCTGAACAAACGAAAGGATGGCATGGACAGGGCCCCCTCGATGCACGCAGCAAATGCTTCACTGACGAACACGCATTCGTGGTAGGGGACCCAGGGAATGCTTCCTGCGATGGGGAGGCGAGGAGGAGGGACGCATGCGTTCTTCGCACTTTTCAGCTCTTACTTAACCTGTTTGTTCCTGGTCCCTCTGAATGCGGGTTGCGTTCTCAGCTTCGCATGGCTTCGACCTTGTTCCCGTTTCCCCCTAAGGCACCGTGGACATGCCTATACGCGTCGTGGAAGCATGGCAAGCCTCGATTCATTCCATCAATATTTAATTTTTACCGTTGGAACAAATATACCCATTTAATTTAGCATGTTAGTGTCTTGTTTGGCGTGGTTGCATGGTGCGGTGTAGCAACGGCTACAGCAGGGCAGGCTGATGCTTGTTTTGGCGTTGTGTTTGTGGCTTGGGTTCAGGAACCAGCTTTAGCAGACTCTGTGCAAATTGCTTCTTTTACTCTGCTCCCATGGTGGCCGTCGTCAAGACGGAAGAAGGCCAGGTGCTAGGCGCGATCATTTCGTGGTGAACTCAGCAACATGCTTCCTCAGTTTTTTTGCTCTGTTTACTTCAGACTCCTCACAGATTCGTCGCAGTGTACATTGTAGTCGTAGTTCGCACGGCATTGCAGTCGTTAAGGCTGATTTTGCTTGTATAAAGAAATGCATTAATTATTTGTTAACGCGATTATTCAGTTCATTTATGTAAAATCTATGCCCTTCTCAGTGAATTAAAAGAAGGTGGACACAACTTTTTCGGCGACGCGAACACCTGCCTTTTCTCACTGGAGCCACAACTCAACATCCTCCGGTTCGTCGAACTGCTGCCTTTTCGCTTTTCCTTACAAGCTCTATGAATGAACTTTAGGCGCTGCGTTGTTTCTGAAGAAGTGCTGTGAACGAACTCAAGACGCTGTGTTCTTTCTTAAGTGTTGCGAGCAAGATTTTAGACGTTGTGTTGTTTCCAAACACGTGCGGTGAACGAGTTCAAGGTATTCGGTTGGCTCTTATCAACTGTTTATGAACGAGCTCGTGATGAAGGTGAATAATTGCAACCTTGATTGTCGTCCCGTGTTTATCTGACTCATGCGCCGTTCTGTGTTTCTGTTTTCAGAACGAGCGGCCTGGGAAGGAACTTTATTTATTTGAACACCAAAAACAAATTTCACCCAATCGGTCTGGGCTTCGGCGGCCAAGTTGGTGCTTTCCGCTTTTGGATTGGCGATGGTGCGTTCAAGAATTTGAATTTGTTTCAGAATTTGGATGTGCTGTTGAATTTTCATTCGTTTGAAAACTTGAGCTGGTAGGATTTGTGTTTGGTTTTGCATTGTTTGATATCAGCTGCCTTAGTATTTGTTGCAAAGACTCTGCTGTAGCTGTTGTGTATTAATGATTGAAGTAAATTCTTTTTCTGATCAACAGCTACTTTTTTCGTTTCTGTTTTGGTTTCTTTTCCGTTCTGCAGAGATGAAGGACTGTTACATTACGAAGAGCGATTGCACGTACTCGCCAGGTCGGATGCTGCAGACGATGAACGAGCCGATTCCCCAGGGCTCCGAGACCCTCGATAACGTTGCTGCCTTAACAACAGCATTGGATGGAGCTGCTGCAGCCGCCTCAAGTGCATCAAAGCCGAAGGCAGAAGCTGCTGTTACACTTCCAAGTGTAGAAGAAACCCTCTCCGCCAATTTTCTGTGTCCTATTCATGTCAAGGAACTTGAAATCTGGGGGACGGGAGACGCCAGTGTTCTGGAACAACAGCGCGCACTCTTGAAACAACAAGATCAGGTATATTAACAGATGCCGTGGTATACAGAAAGCACCGCCACGATCCTTGAGCTCGAATACAAGCATAGGCTGGTTGCCTACAGTGCCTATAGCTGTTTTTTCGTATGTGTTGTTTCTTTGGGATCTGCAGCTGCGACAAGAACGGCGGCAAGTAGACAAGGGTCGGCTATTGGACAGCAGCTTCGACCGCGAGTTTCTTTTAGGTGGCACCTTCAGTCGCGCGAAGGGCCCCGAAGCGCCGTCTGTATAGGGCGTTAATTTTTATTCAGTAACTACCCGCACCGTGGTCTGCCCGACAGTCAGTCGGGGCGGCTGGCTTTGGTGTGGTGTGGACAATTTATGTGCGTTGAGGAAAAACACCTAAATCCTCTGCATGCACTGCGCATGGTAATTAGTACTTTGGCTAAATGCAAGGAGGCTGCGTCTGCATTTGCACTGCACTGTACTTTGCGTGTTGTTGAAGAGCAGCGCCCAGAGGCGCTGATGCAGTTAGCAGATGGGCGAGAACAACTGACAGCATCGCCTCTCGCTACATGCACGCATCTCAGCTCCTCTATCTGCCTTTGGGCTCCGCTGATTAATAACTTTTAAGCACCAGCCAGCTGCTCGCCGGTGTGGGTGTGAGGCTGCTGCCTTCCGTCGTCAAATGTGTATTATTTAGCATTGAGTAGCACCCTTTTCTGTATACAGCGTCAACAACAACATTGCGAGCTATGCATGCGTGCATGCACGCGCTTCGTTCGTCCATCTTTTAAGCCGGAATGCGAGGGAGTCCGCAGTTGGCGTGCCACGAACACTAAGCCTCATTTCTTTCTCACTGCTGATACGTGTTAGTCAGCAGGAGGCACAGCATGCACGATCAATCCGCCGCCGCATTGCATGCATAGGACATGCATAGGGACCTTTTGCATCTCTGTGTTCTCTCTCGTAGGACAGGCAGCCGCCTTCTCACATCATTGCGTCACCTGAGACGCCCTCCTTTGCTTCTCTCCGTCGCTGCCGTTGGCAGACTTTGGCTGTCAAAACGTAAACCGAAGCGGCAACCATGGCTCTCCATGGTGCTTCCGCACATGCAGGCTGTGAGCATCTATATACGTGTATGTGCCCCTATTATCTGCCCTCTGGAACATCAAAAAGCTTCTAGTGCCTCCGTACTTTCCATATGAATTCATAGTAAACAGCCGACTGCTGTAAAGGGTCTGCACTAACTAATCTATCGAATGCACTCTGCATTAGCATTTGGGAACCCCCCTCTAAATATTTTTGGATTTATTGTCCTTCGTTCGCAAAATCAGAAACGCCGCAAACGCCCACACGACCTCTTGCCCTGCTAGGACTACGGTGCATCATATGGGTCGGACGGGCATTTTTGCGTTGAAGTGTTGCACGCAGGCTTAGGGGCTGGATTATATATATATATATATATATATATACCAACCGGCCACCTCACGCATGCTGCCTCTAACCCCTCGAACAGACAACACGCGCAGCGGCGTGCTGCTGCTGAGGGGCTTCACCGATGGATTTAAGCTAGCAGCGCGTACTTCCTTCGAGGGACATTCTGTACTCTCTTTGTCTTCCTGCGGCGAAATCACAGACAAGAGGTGCAAAGCAGATGGTTGCGTGTCTGTCGTACATCTGAGATGCTTGTATAGAGGCTAAGCATAAATGCATTCATAAGAATAAGCAAGCACAGGTACATGCGGAAGAAGAAGCCAAACAAAAAAAGAATACATTGTTATGTCGGTCATGCGGCGAGAAGCCTCACCGCACAGTCATTTTTCTGCGTTGAGCCAGCGTCAGTCGTTGCCTAATGGCACGTGTTTTCTTAAATCTAAGGTCCTTGGGCTTGTGCTTTTGACCCTGAAAGAACTTCTTCGCCTCTTCCCTCCTCTTCTGGTTGTACACCGTCAGTATGCGGGCGATGCCTTTGCGCACTCGGGTGATTTTTGCGAGACGCGATGAGACGGCGCCCGTCACCTTTGCAACTCGGAGATGGGAGAGCTCCTTCTTCAAGCTCTCCAGCTGCTTCTGAAGGTCCTTAGGGGCCTTCTGCCTCAGCTCGTGTGCTGTTATACCAACCTGCACCAACAGAAGCAGCAGTTGCAGCGCATTCCACACGAACGATTGCAACAACACCGTAGGCAAACGCATAAGACACAACGAACAAACCAACTTATAACAGAACCAGAAGACTAACAAGCGGAAATCAGGAAGCGAAAAGGGCGCAGGGGGTCAGCCCCCACACTGGTGAGACCGGGATTTGTAGCGCTTCCCACGCCCCCATCTAGAGATATACGGATGAAGTGCAAGCGAATCACCAAGCTGACTAACAAAGGCTACAGCTTATAGAGGATGTTCAAACACAAAAACAACGCAGCAGAATCGGCCTCCGCTGCAAACCCGTAGCAGCTATCAACGAACTGAATGTGAGACGACGACAAAGCCCGTTGTGCCTTACGGAGGCAAATTCCATCGGAATGCAAAAAACATATTCCCTTACACGAGGGTACGAAACAAAGTCTTATGACATTGGAGATGCAAGCATAATTCGTTGTGCTTATTGCCTGTCTGCTGCTGCTGTTGCTGCTCACCATCTTGACGTGTGGGGAATAACCGAGACGGGCTGAGGTTTACTTAATATTCTTTCGCCCCTTTATAATGCAGTTCTTCAGCGCACAGCATACAACAAAGGCAAAATTCGATGCTCCCGCACGCAAACGAGGCGAGCTGCAGCCCCACCGAACCCGCATGGCCTACCTTGCCAACAACCTTTACCCCGCAGTGGAAGCCTTTGTTGTATGCTTGATGATGTGCTTCTGCAGTGTTCTCCCTCCGCTTGAGATCGAAATAACCCAAGAAAACTAAAAAAGTCAAAACATATTTAAAAAAGAAAAGTAGAAAGGAGCAACGTTATAAATTGGTCAGGCAAATGCAAATTGGCAGGTAGCAGAAAACCCCCTGAACCACGAAGGGAATCTGGGTATGTCTTAAGCAGCTACAGCACACAAGAAAACGCCTTTCTGGTGCCGGATATTGTTAACTGTTTAAACATATTCTCAAAGGATGTTAAACTTAAGATGCGGAGGTTGGTAGTATTTATTGCTTAAAGGTGATTTAATAAAAAGGCATTTCTAAGCCCGAAACGCTTCCCGCGCGACTCATCCAGTCCCAAGCCAAGCGAGTTACGTTTTTGGTGAGTTCAAACGTCAACGGGATTCTTGTAAAATAATAGGCGCATGCATGTATTAATTCACATTTGTAGTTCTGTTCCGATTCCCCCCCCGTGGAATCCTGTTTCATTATTGGAGGAGGCAGACACTACGGCAACCTCATGACAGCCGTGCTAGACGGCAGAACCAGAAGCGGCTCTGCGTTCGTCTTGCGGCGGTATATATTTATTTTTGAACCTTTTCCCACTACTCTTCTCATCTCCTACCTCTCCATGCCGCATAAATGAGAGCTGTGCTGTCATTTGGGGTGCTCCTGCTGGGAGCAGCTCTCGGGCCTTGCTGCCGAGGAGCAACTGCTTTTGAACCCAGTCCAAGAGCTGATGATTCGCCTGCGCTATTGAGCTATAACGTGGCGCAAAACAACGACAGTTTGCCAACGAATTCTGCTGCTGCTGAAATAGGCCCACCGCCTCTCGACATCGAACTAGGGCGCGCCCAGGCTAAGGGCGTTTACCTCGTACATAGGGAGAAGGCGGTTGCCAACATCGTGATTTCTTTGGGCATTGCAATAATTTATTATTTGCTGTTTTCAGGCCGTGCTGTGGACGAGGCACGTGCCGAAGCGCCCAACGATCCGCTCATCGCCTCGTACGCACGTGCATTCCGCAATTACCCTGTAGCAATGTATATCGACATTTTCCTGCTGATTATTCCAGTGGTGCTTCTTCTGCAATTGATAATCAAGGAACTGGAAAGATACAGGATTCAGAAAGCTCTTGAGGGTACCGACTTAAGCAGGCCGCGTTGACCAAAACATCGCCGAGATGCTGCGTGGGTACAGCAGTAGCAGGCAGCCCAACGACCGCAAATAAGAGAAAGACAGGCATACAGAGACTCACGATAATGGTTCTGCTTATGTTCTTCATCCGGATATTCAAGCAGCTTTCTCTGGAAGCTGCACATGCAACTTCGTTCAAACGTCAGACCTTGCACGAGGCCTTCTTACCCCTGCTACGGCGAATGCTTCTCCACTCAGCAATAAATATATATGTTATAAAATACAAATGTGTTAGTATAGTAATGCATAGCATGGGGTAGTATATTTTGGACGAGATGCCAATGTAATCATTTGTATACGTCCCCATAACAGCGGGACGAGCTGTCAGGTATTAATCGCTGCACAGACAGGAGAATCAATTGCTTGCAAATTATGTTTGAGAAGAGGAACAGAAAGTCGTGCGTTCCTCCAACCGAATGCGATCAAAACCATCTTTCTATTAACGGTAAACTTCCTTTCGGCTTTGCTATTTTGATTACTTGATTTCGCCTGTACGCAATTCGTTCAGGTCATCCTAGTTTCGGATGCTTTACGTATTGAATGTTGACACGCAGTTGGAGCAGCTGCAGCAGTAGTTGCAGCAGTTGACGCAGCTGCAGCAGTAGTTGCAGCAATTGACGCAGCTGCAGCAGTAGTTGCAGCAGTTGATGCAGCTGCAGCAGTAGTTGCAGCAGTTGATGCAGCTGCAGCAGTAATTGCAGCAGTTGATGCAGCTGCTGCAGCAGCTGCAGCAGGTGCTGCCTAGTGGGTGTGCCACAGTGCTTTCTGCTTAGAAGTCACTCCACAGCAATACAGCAGTCCCCCTCTGTATCCAAAGAGAGGGCGGGTACCGAGCATGAGCCGGCAGGTCAACGAACGCCACGAGGTCCCTGTAAAGACAGACAGAGCCAGAGAGAAAGGAAAAGGACAAATGCAGGAAACCACCACCAATTTCGCCCTGCTGCCACCGCTGCTTTTGCTCGTGGGGAGCACCCAACGTGCATTTAAAAAACGCCGTCTGTTGAACGCACTTTCGAGCCCTGTTCAAAAACATCGGAGTAGCAATGTAGGTAACGCCCGCCTGTTTGAATTTGCAGCCTTCTGCTTTGTGGTACCACCGCATGACCATAGGCGGTAAGTTCGAGGCCAGGGTATGTGTGACATCTAAACACTGCAGCGACAGTTTCACAGCGAGCTCAAACGGGGCATAAGTGAAATACAATATAGGCGATCGACAAGCAACACAACTAAAATGACGCCTCCTGCAAGAAATAACGAACGAATTGGATAATCGCCTCAATTGAGGTCCAGAGATGGTGACAGCAGTTTCACAAAGACACGAAAAGAACAGGGCATAAAAGAAATGCAATAGGGCAAGCCAAAGAACTAATGATACATATTGCAAGGATAATGAACTAGTAAGCAAACTGTGAGACTAACTGAGACTACCTAACTGACCGCTTCACTTGCGTTCCACGCTGCGCCTTCTATAGTCAATCCCGTGATAATGAAGCACTGATCATCTTTTGCATCGAAAGCCCCAACAATAACTTCCACTGCGAGATCGTCTAGCGACCACCCCTTGGCTTGAGCGACCGCCTGACGAGTTGCAGTGAGGTACGCTGATGGGAAGAAAAGCCCGCCCAGCCAAATTCTCCATTGTGTCAGTTCTCCGTTGTCGCGCTGCCGTGAGAGCAACTGCATTGCCGCTTCCGTTTGCACGTCGTTTTCCTCCTCTGTGCCAAACTCTCGTGACACCATGGCTAGCTGAGCGAGGCGGCGGCTGAAGTCCTCCAGCCACTCCTTCACCGTCAGCTCCTGAGCCGAGACGTACACCTGACTCCACTCCGGTGGCACTTTCGATGAGGATATCTGGCTCGCTAGGTCACGCAACGAGTTCGTGATCTTCAGCTCGCCTTTGCAGACCAGCAACAGCTCGCCTAAAGACTCGCGAATCAACTTACACAGCCTGAAGGAAACAGGAATTACATAATGCATTAAATGAGTGAATATTCCTTATATTAAAAATACATCACCGTAGTTAGGCTAACGCATATTTACGCATATTGCCATTTATATCTACCTTTTCGAGAAACGAAGGCATACCTTGCACCAACAGCTAATTCACGCTCAAAACAGCGAAACATCGGATTCTGCACCATTTCGTCTGTTCGCTGTAAGACAGGGAATTTGTCTGGCAACGTGGTGAGGCAGGCTTGCACGACAGGGATGAGCAGTGTGAGCCAAGAAGTTTTTGGAGCGTCGTCGGGTTCTGCTTCGCCAACAGTTGCAGCGCTCTTCTGCCGCTTAAGCCCCTTCTTCAGGATGCTCTCAGCAATGGAGTGGAAGTCGAGGTCATCTTCCTTGCCTCGCAGCAGTAACGTCGACCAGTTCGTTACGCAGGTTTGAGCCTGCCGGGCGGCCAGCAGCCACTCAGCACGCGAGTTGAATCCAATCCAAGCGGGCATATCTCGAGGGGGAAGCGAGTCTACCCATTCTAAGTACTGCTCGTGCGTCTTGTACAGCTCAGAAGGGGCGCGTAGAGCGTCAGATTTCGACGCATCTCCTCCCTTCCCAAAGGTCGGCATGTTGAGGCAAAAGTCCGACTCAAACGCCTCCGCACGAAACAAGTAGTCCACAAACGACCGCAACACTCTGCAGCAAACCAAAGCATAGCGCCACCCACATCAAATGCAAAAGTAGAGAGAAAAGATACTTCAACAAAAATAAACAAAAAACCATACGCCGTAACTGCTGCCGCTGCTACGGTGGCCTTGTTTGCGAACGGTTACCTTTCATCGACAGCATTATCAAGTCTTCCCCCATAACAGACTTGAGCGATCAGAGTTCGAATTGCAGGCCAAGGGATTCTCTCAGGCGCTATATGATCAGACACTGTGTCTCCGCGTTGCGCCACGGCAGCAAGCCAGGAATCTACAATGCTCAAAGCGCACTTCTGGTCGGCTTCTGAAAATTCGTAGAGTTTGCACCACCCCACGGGCGCATATCTCCGCCTTTCCAAAATAATAGCATGCAGGAAAGCCAGGAGGAACTGCAAGCGACAGCGAGCTGCGGCAGGGGGCTGTACCGGCTGAACATGAGCAGCACTTCTACTGGAGGCACCTCGGGTCGCACTGGCACCGAAGAGCATCGCGTAGGACCTGTACAGGGACGCCTTGATACCAAGTGGAGGCTCGAAGACAAAAGTGCAAGACGCCCTCACCAGCGTAGCGGGAACTTTGGGGTTGTACTCCATCGTCAGGAACAGACGGAAATTCGTGTGCGCCTGGCCACGGTGCAAGTTTGTTTCTAGGTCCTGCAGCCACTTAAGAGAAAGGTGGACGTTCTTGCAGAGCACCCAAGATCCCTGTCGAGTGGCCTTTGCAATCGCCTTGTCTGCCAACTCGAATCCTTCCTTACTGCCCATTGCTACAGAGCTAATCGGCTGCTGGACGACGTTGGCGAGCTGAGTAACAAGGCTGCTGGGGTCTGAACCGGGAGACAAAACAAAGAGAACCGGCGAAGTACTGCTTGCCTGCTTCTCGACCACCTCCCTAAGTAGGTCTTGCGTCAGTTCAGGAACCGTTAGGAAATTCCGCCCCAAGACGGTTTCGCATAGTTCAATAAGGACGCAAGTCACACGGTCCGGCCTCACCGCCCTCAGCACCAGAAGCTCGCGCAGTAAGCTGATCCACCCTCCGAGCGTAATGGCGCCATCACTGCCTATTTTCTTGTCTGCATGGGGATGCGGCTCCGCAGTGAAGACGCCGGGGGGGAAGTTCGTTTCAGGGGCGGAAGACTGGAGCATTGAAATCCATTCCTCCTCGTGTGCCTCCATGTGATTCTGGAGAGCAGAAAAACAGGGAAGCACCAACAATTTTTGCAGTGCCTTCATCTGCTCGGCAGTCAGCTCGCCATGAAGAGTCGTTGTCCACGATGCCGATGCAGCAACTGCATGATCCTCGACGAACCCCTGTAGCAGCAGCTGTAGCTCCGGCAACTCCAGAGGCGAACCTATGTCAAGCTCAGTCCTGATGAAACACAACTGCAACGCGAACACGAGCCTGTCGTAGTACCCCAGGCCGTAGGCGACTCGCTTGAATGTCGTTGAGAAGAGGCCCGACAAGAGACAAGATAGCCTTTCGGAATAGTCCGTCTTCTTCATATCACTTAGACCAGCAGCGCCGGTTAGAGTGTCATGCAAAATGCCTGTGAAAAGATGCAAAGCAGCCAAAGAGGGAAGCATGAGATAGATATCGACGCATACATCCGTACCTCCAAGTGGCTGAGAGAATGAAGGGAAATAATCTCACCTAAAAAGAAGCGGAGATCGTACTGATAGACGGGAGAAACGCATGACAGATTTAGCAGCGTAAAGTAAATGCGGCCCGCAGCGAGAGCCCAAGGCAAATACATGTTGCTCGTTTGGTCGACTTCTTGCATGATTTCTTCTGTATGCGCAGCCTCTGCTGCCACTTCCGCTGCCTGCCGCTTGAGCATTTCCATTGAAGACATCACAGAGTCGTCATCTAAGATGTTCCCCTTCACATTTGAAAGCGCAAGAAGAAGAGCATCTTCCAGTTCGCGTATCTTGACCTTGAATTCTCCCTGCAGCTTGAGCATATCTGACCTCTTCTTGTCGATGTCTGCTCTCTCGCTCTTCAGGATGAGATTAAGGCACTGATTTACCAACGAAGAAGGCGTTAAGGTGAAATTAATTATAGTGACTCGGCTGCAAATGTCGGGTGTGAACTGAGCGGTGGGGTCGCGTGTTGCAAGGTACATGGAGAAGGCCGGCGACAAATCGATTTCTGAGTCGCCAACAGTAATCAGAACACGGCCGCCGAGTTTGTGCGTTTCTCTGTTGAGTACGGGGTTCAGAATGGGGTCCACCTTCTCGACGTCCTGAATTACTAAAGTGGAGCCGAAACGCAAACTACTCTCCAGAGCCTTGAGGAAGTTCGCGTCCAGGAAGGAGGTCTTCGACAGCTTGTTGGAGGACAAAAAGGACGTCAGAAAGTTAATGGCTTGACCAGCAGGATCAATGATAAGTGGGTAGCGCAAAAACCTTTTCATAATGATCGCGTTTTGAACAGATAGGTCGTCGGGAGGAAGCGAGTGGGCCGCCCACTGAAGTCGCTCTGAAGGTGTGGAGAGAAAGTCAACGAACGAAAGATCAACGCGGCACCGAATGCATTCCCGCTGCAGTACTGCCCTCCACTCTTCCAGCAGCCGGTGTCTATCCGCGTATTCAAAGAAACCCAAATACGCGCAGAAAGCAGCGGCGAGCAAACTATCGCCAACGAAAGTTTGAGTTGCCAGCTTAAGCTGTTCCAACTGCTCAAACCACCGGTTCTTCTCGGACCCTAGGTTCTCCAGGAGCGACATTGAACGCGCGCATTTCTTCTGCACCTCTTCCATCTCTCGCTTGATGCTCTGCACCTGACTAATAAGCTGAGCGTAGTCCTGCTTATATTGCTGCAGTTTGCCTTCTAGCTGTGTGATGAGGGACTGCTGCTCCTGTAAATTCGCCTCGTTCTCCTGCGCTTCAGTCTCAAGCTGGGCGATTTCAGTCTGCAGCGGTTCCACCTGCTCACTAATCAACACAAACTTCACGCTGCTCTCAACCCACTGAGCCAGCGGGCCTGCTGCGCGAGACGCCTTGTTGATTCGTTCAATATCCCAATCGCCCGTCAAGAACTTTGTCTGGATCCTTCGCCGAGTCGCTGAGCTAACGGACGCACAATCGAAGTTCAGAATCTGAATGCAGCACAACAAGACGAGCGCAAGTGAAACAAAGCAAAATGAGTGAGCGCCGCCGTCCGCAGCGAATGGAGGAAGCCTAATATGTTAGCACCCCTGAATTGATCGTAAATAAAGCTTGGCCTTGCCTTGGAAATAAAATCTGATGCCTTCAAAATCTTTCTTGCGTCTTCCCAAGAGACGGCCTTTTCCCCCGCATCCGTGATGAGCACAGCAACAGCCTCCACAGCTACCTTTGCCATGGCTGGAGGATTCGCCATGCTTTTGAGTTCATCAAGACTCTTCTTTGGAATATTCGTAACGGCCTCTGCAGCTTCCCTCAGTAGCGGTTCCACTTCGCTCAGCTGAGCTTCTACCACCGCTCTGCGCTCCTTGATTATGCCCGTCTGCTCGTCGAGCTTGCGTGCAAGTACTTCAGCGCCCTTCTTTTTGTCTTCCGCTTCTGCCTGCTGGTTGATCATTTGCTGCATCTTCTTCTCAGCTTCCTCGTTCTTCTCTGCAAGCACTGCACCCTTCTCTGTGAGCTCCGTCCGCATTTCCCCAACCTGTCGTTCCACTTGTGCAAGAGTTTGCAGTCCGGCTTGCAGGTGGTGCTGTTGCTCTCCGCTGGCATCGCTCTTTTCGGCAACAAGTCCTCGGAAATGATGCAGGAAATCAAGGAAGTCGCGCGGTGTCATGTAGTTCGATTTGCGGCCGCTCTTTGACAGAATGGCGTTGCTCTTGGCCACTGCATAGTGGAAAGACACAATGGCTGTTGCAAGCCTGCTACGGCGGGCGAGGTCATCTGCATCTGCATCCATTTCTTCATCTGAGTCGTCCGCTCTCTCCCGCCGAATGCTACTAATAGGTTTCGCGCCCACAGTGGCCTCTGGTGTGAAGCTGTCGGGAAGCAGCTCAATGGAGTCAGTGAATTCGAATGCAACTTGTTCCATTGCAGGCTGAGCCCAGTCGCCAAACCAATCGATCACGCATCTGTTGAACAAAGCCGGGGAGGTTGCCTGACGATTGTAGAAGTCAGGATTCGCCGGGTTCATTGTGAAGATAATATGCAGATTTCTCTGCACTTGTTTCGTGAAACGTGCAAACAGTTCTGAAGACTCGCCACTGCCTAGGTAGTCGCTTCCATAAGCTGCCTTGCATTCATTGATAAGAGCCGTGTACTCGTCGCCTTCGAAGAGCCCTGGTACTTCGCCTGTAGTGCAAAAGCAGAAATGCAAGGACAGAAGCAAACGAGCTGGGGCTGCATGCAAATCATCAGGGGGAGCAAATATTCTGAGAACCATCCTGCCAGTGGTGATGCCACTTCATCTAACCGGATGAAGCGACGGGATGCCCACCTGAGGCGAGAAGAGCATTCATTCTTTCAAGGAATGCTGGTCCTAAAGCATTGGACTCATCGATAACAAATGCTATTTTTTCTTCTTTGAGAGCTGCGCGTTTCATCACCACGCGAAGGTCTTGTTCGAAGGAAGCTGTGTTGTAGTTTCTGCCCGCTTTTATTTGAAAGATGCTCAGGCCATTCATCCAAGAGACGAACTTGGTCAGAATCGTCTTCCCTGCTCCTGACGCGCCTACAAGCAAGAGGTGCCCCAGCGGCTGCCGGAGCACTCTGTCAATTCGGGCCACATGGTGCAGCACTTCATCAAAGAACACCAGCTGCACCTGAAACACTTCTTCATTGAACACCCGCAGTTTCCCTTGCAGCAGAGAGCGCAAGGCAGGCATAGAAACCTCGCAGTACTGGCGGCTTGCCAGACTGGTAAAGAGTATAGGACGCTGCAGAGCTGCTTCGCTAACACTGGGGAAGTGCCTGAAGTGCCAACACCGGACAGCAAAAGAAACAGAACGCTGTAAAGAACCAGGTGCAAATCTATATACAAGTCCATTAATGGCCAATACGTTCGCTATTGCTTGCTGGCAAACGCAATTAGGAAGTACAGTGAAAAACAATAAGCTCTCACGCTGCGCCCGAAGTCCCACAGGACCAGTTGTTAGACAAATGACACACACAAACCAGCCTCTGCCTACGCTGAGGCTTACGTTTGGACGATTGTATCGAGCATCTTGTCGGTCTCCTCCCTTTCTGCTTCCGTCACAAGTCGGTCGCTAAAAATCCGCAACCCCTCGTGGGCGTAGGTCCTGACGAGTTGCGTGAGGGTTATTTCGGTGTTATCTGTTGCGCCTCTGGGTTGGTCTCTCCCCACCCTGTTCGTTTCGCCAGACGAGGATTTCCTGAGTAGTTCAGAGTCGGATCTTGCTCCCCCTTCAAGAGCCTCTGCTAACGCTAGCTTCCAGCGCGTTAGCTCTCTTGGGGAGTAGATGTAGTGAGGCTGCTGGTCAACTGTGAATGTGCTCGAGAAGGAAATGTAGAATTCCACCATCGCCATGGTAAGCGCATCAGCAGATGGGAACAGGCTAGGATAAGGACGCAGAAGAGCCCTATTGAATGTTCTGTAAATCTGAAATCAACACAACACGCAACAAAGGAGCATGCCTACCGTACACGACGAGTTGTCGAGGGCCAGAACTATGAACCATTCGAATGGTCATTAGGAGTATACCTGGATAAGAGAATCCTTTCCTGGGAAATCAACGAATATAATAGGGGCATGCCGAAGAAAGCGATTGCTCATGTGATGACGGCCCGCATCTGTAGGGGGGTTACACGCTCCTGCAAACTGCACCCCTTCAACGCGAATCCACACCCACGGCGAGGCCTGCTGTAGTTGTGGCATCGAACGCCAAAAGCCCCCCGACTCCACTATTTGGCGTATCAGCATTATAACATGCTGCGTGCCGTACTTGTCGGGAGAGGGGAGGTTACATTCGTCGCAGAAGATGATGAGAGTGCGCCCAGGTACAAGAGGCCGCATGACCATCCCCCCCGCTGCAGTTTTCGTGAGCTCGCAGTAGTGATCAAAAGTCTTAAACAGCAAGTCGGGGGTGGTACCTGAGGAGAAGTTGAGAAAGGCAACGTCGAAGTCCGCGCGCTCTTTTAGTACTGCCGTGAGAGTCATCGTCTTCCCAGAGCCAGGCGGGCCACAGAGAATGAAAGGCTTTTTTTCCTCGAGCCAACCCTCTACAACATCACGGTGTCGTAAAGTGTCCACAGTTTGAATAACGAGGGAGGCATCCTTCACCTGGTAGAACGTAAAGGTACACAGAAGACAAAATACATTTCTAGACCGGTGTGAACGCGCCGATCAAAAAGCAGCAAGGAAGAACTCTGCCTTCGCCTTTCGATGTCGGGCTCACCTGCTGGGTGTCAATTTCCATCTGTTTAACTCGCGACTTCCACGAGTGCCACTGGCCGTCTTCCAGTGATGGTTCAAAGTCCAAGAGGGTTTGCCCCCTTCCATCGTCAGAACTCAAGGCAGCAGGCAAAGGCAGGTCACAAATGCGCGCCACTTCTTCGCTAAATGCAATTCGCCCTGCCAGGCTTACAGAGCCCCCCATTCCCCACAAGATGGACAAGACCATCCACTGCAAAAACCACAACAGAACATTCTCTTCCTTTTCTCTTGACTGGGGTATTAAATATTATATTTAAGTTCCACAATAGAGACAATCAAATGCCTCAGCAAGGCGGTGATGTGCCGAAATACAGTGAGAGGTGTCAAGAAGGAGTGTCTTGCCTTTGTAATGAACTGAGCCATTAGATCATCATCCATAGATTCTCCTGATGACCGTAGCTCTTCATTCTTTTCAACAATGCGACTAATTCCTTTTTTTAAGAGCGAAAACATGCTCTCGATGCACCTGATCCTCGTGAACTCCATGATGTGCTGGTGTTTCATTGCCTTGTCGAGGCACTGACTTGCGAATCCTCCAGCACAAAAGAACGGTTGAAGGATGGTAACACATCTCTCCTTTATTCCCTGGGCAACAGCTTCTGCCGCACCGCGGGCTCCTGTAGCGCCTCCAGCGAGCATGCTTGCCTTGGATGCCAGTTTCCCGACACTCCCCCTCGAAAGGACGTGCGAACCTGATCGTGCAAGTTCACGAGAAATCGCGCGACTCGAGACGCTGCGGTCGACGCCCTTTGTCTGGCCTCCCACGCCTTGCAAAAGTACCTCTGTTGCTGTCGAGCCAGCGGCTATCTCGTCTAAATGATGCTGGAACACAACGTCATCCGGCAGCACAGAGCTCGCAAACCACACAATGCCGCAGCGACTGACAGTGGCAAGGGTTGCGTATTTGAGGGTTTCGACTTCGAAGAGAAGGCGAATGCAGTTCGGTATTTCTAGCCTTTCTCCATTTGGAAGCGTGAGCAGCTTATTGTCATCCAGAGCAGAGTTAAGATTTTCTGCCCAGTCAGGGTCGACGTCTCCGTCAAACACAATCCAATGCCTTCTTTGCGGGGCGCCGCTCCCTGCTTCTTGCGTAGTCGCGAGAATCTTGCGCAGCACTGCAGTGAATACTCCGTCTTGCCACTCTAAGGTTGTGGAGTCGAGTTTGCCGTATAGCTGCTCTTTGGCCACTACTTTGGGGTCTAACACATACGACATCCCCTTTATGCCGTCCACTTTCTCCATCGCATCTAACAGAACGCGCCAAGCAGCAGACTTTCCCGTGCCCACGGGGCCTACAAGCATCACACCGTGCTGGAGTCGCTGGATTTGGTACAGCTGCAGGACTTTCTCCAGCCAGTCCCCCTTTGCTTCCAAGAAACGCGCTTCGCAGAGCCGTTCAATTTCGTCCAACAAAATCTTCTCATCGAGAGCGGGAATATCCGCCCCTGGGAACACCCCCATCAGCAGACTTCGAAGGAGAGGAACATCTTGGGCAACGAGCTTCGGCACGACGGTATCAGTGACAGATCTGATGAGAAGTTTCTGCTCCACAGATTCGACGACTTCTGGGTCGTCCACAACTGTCCCTGCTCCTGCTTCTTCCTGAAGCAACTGGCGCTTCAGATTGCCAGCCGAGCTGAGGGCACTCTTCAGGGAACGCAACCCGAAATCGTAGTGGGGCTGCTTAGACAGCTGTCTGTCGCATAAGTCATATAAGGAAATGATCTTGCTGGACAAACGCTCGGCGGAGCGAAAACCCTGTGCGTACAGCGTAACCTGAGCGATTAGCTGCTTGTCTGGCTTAATCATCGCCACCTCACGGAACAGCTGCTTCAAGTTATCTGGCAAGTTGGAGCGACCAGCGTAGCCGGGATTCATTGTGACGAAGATCCCAACATTCGTGTTGAGTTTAGTTGCCTTCCCAAGCAACTCTATTTCTTTCCGACCTTCGCGCAGCCCAATCTAAATAAGAAGCAGCACAGAGCATGAAAATTCCTTTCCATCACGAATTAACAACTGAGTAGCCGCTGCCGTTCATGTCGCAGCACGTGAGCTAATTATGCATGCCTATGTTGCAAGAGTTGTGCATATGCGGAAGCGAAAATGATAGAGAAAGCTCGGGTGCTGAGACTGCTGCTGACCTGGATAGTCAAAATCTGTTCTGAAACAGCAGAAAGAATCCTTTCATCGAGACGATTAAATTCGTCAAAGCAGCCCCAAGCCCCCACTTGACATAATCCCGAAAACAGCCGACCCATTGCGTTGAAGTCAAACGTCTCATCACAGTTAAACACCAATGTGTACCTCCCCAAGGCACACCCCAGGGCCTTCACCGACTCCGTTTTTCCCGTCCCTGACAAAAACGAGCGACAGAGAAGGCGCGTCTGCGACTCTTCACCTAACACGGTATGCTCACCAATATAGATATATATACGTGCATATCGGTCACGTGCACTAGACACACACGCGAAGATAGTGTCTGGACCGTCGCTCTTGAACCAATCTGCAGTACGAAGCTCCTAGAGAAGGGAGACCGTGCTTATACCTGCAGGGCCGAACGGGTTGCCCCCAAGTTTCATCTTGAGGGCTTGAGTGAGAGTGAGGAAACACTTGTCGGTCAAAGGGGTCTGCACGAGTCGCTCCGCCATTCCTGCAGCCGCACATTTCCCAACTTCTCAGGACGCATTCACTGTACCTTGTTTTCAGTTTGTTGGAGAACTAACACAAGTCAGAGAGCCTAGAGCGCAGAAGATCGCCCTGTTACTTGTACGTGCTTCTTCTGCTTGGGTTGCTGCTGGGCCTAATGTGTTGCTGCTTCGTTGAGTCTGCCAGTGCGCCACAAGAAATTGCCAGTGCAGCGTAGCGACACTTGGAGGACGTTAGTTACCCAAATATTCGAATCCGTAGTCAAATGTTGCATCCGCCATGCACACTTTGAGAAGACCCTGAGGAATTATGGGGCCCGAAGGTGCAGGGTGCGTGAAGTAGAATCGCATGCATTCAAGCCAGCCAAAGTCCTTTCTGGAGATCACGTTATTCTTTATCAGGGACCTGATATGGCATCGTCACATACAAAAACATAATAACACCCGGATGCAATGCACAAACAATGACGGCACCGATTGGCGCCCAGAGAGGAAGAAGTATTAGTACCAGATGAGGCCTTTTCCTGAGGAGTATCCCTACCGGTGTAGCTGCTGAAGTGTGATGCTGCCTACCGATTCAGCAGATACATACCTGCAGACATCTCTTTGGTGCACCACTTCTGTGATCATGTGAACGATTCGATTGCGAATGAGAGGGCCGACATCCTGAACAACGCGATCCGCCAGGAATCCGAGGAGAGTCACGCAGTCCTTCAACGCGGAAGACTCCAGAGGGTGTTCCGCCTGTTTTGCATTTGCCGCTTGATAAGGATCATCTGATGACAACGCCAATTCGCATGTCTTCGTCCAGCGGATGTTCATCGCTAGCAGCAGCGCCTGCAGGGGAAAGTCTTTGATCCACTTCACAAACGGGTCCTCTAGGGGGTCACTTCCTGCTGCTGTCGTCGACGTCAACGCGCCCAAGTCGAACTGCTCGAGCGTCTTCAGAGCCCTCGAAACGTTATCAGCCAGTGAGACTGTCATCTGCAGCTCTACAGCACTCATCCAGTCTTTCAACGATGCATACTGCAGTATGGACACCCCGCTAACGAAAGGAACAACTTCTCCCTCTCGCGAGCTGTGACACAAACACAGGAGCCACAGGACTATACACATGTGCATGGAAGACTGCTTCAGGAGAAAGAGTGGCCGTAGGCCAGGAAAATACAGAATGGGAGGCACTTCACCCGGTCTCCCCTTCCACCCTCATTACAGTAGACACCTAAACAAAATGAGCCTCAATTATAGGGCAAAGTTCACGAAAAGGGCACTAAATTGCTTACGTCATCGCAGTAATTGTTGTTGGGTCTTCAGGATCAGTTTCGAGTGCAGCGATCCCCGCGAAGAGCTTGCTCACGTGGCGCTGCACCAATTTGACGTCCTTTGCGTTGCCAATCATTTCCAGGAGGTCTTCGTCACCTACAAAGTAAAAGCGAGAGAACTGCTCCCTCTGTTTCTCAAGATACTCTCCGAGGGCTTTTTGAATTCGTGACAGCAAATCCGACAACCGCTCCAACTGACGGGCGAGGCCCTCGGTCGAGGCTACCTGTGTACACGAACAGTAACAGATTGATGCAAATGCAAGGGAACGAAAACGAAACGCATTTAGATATACAGCAGTGCAGATTGCAGGCTTCAAAAGTTCCGGGTTTAGATGCATGTAAGGCAAGCAAAAGAACTAAGCTTCATCCAGCGGCATTTCGACGTTACCTCAAGCACTACTTTGGTGGTGTCTGCTTTCTTCATTATGCCTTTGAACTCCGCGTCAATGCCTCTGAACCGCTGATGCTCGGCAGGGAGAAGCATCTGAATGTCTTGTGAACCAGAGAAGACCCCCTCCAGGTACAGCCACTTGCGCTGTACTTCGACCCAGCTGTCCAGGAGGATGCGCAACCTGTTCAGTTTCTCGTCCCAAGCGAGTGCCTCCTCTTCAAATATCTGCCCAATACCCAAACACGCTGAAATAAACTTCATCGACGGCGAAAAGAAGGAATGAACACTGTGTGCATACCCAAAAGGCGAATGATTGCACGGATATACGCGCACAAAAAACAGAAAGACACCTTCAAACCCAGAATCCACTGCTTCTGTGCTCAGGGGGAAAGTGCGAGCGTAGCTCCAAAGAAAAAACGCAGTCTTATCGAAGCTGTATGTGAACCCGTCAAAATGCCTCCTCCCGCTAGCGTCTGCAAAGTGGAGGGGCCCGGCCATTGCGTACAAATAAATCTATATATATTTATCTATAAATATGTATATATATATGTATATATATATATATATATATATATATGTATATACATATGCATATGCATCGCAGGCTTGTTGGTTTTTTACCTTGAAGAAGGGGGACATTTTCATGGACTGTATGGATGCGAGCTGGTCATCGATGGTTTGGAAGAGTTCTTCCCATCCTTTGATGACTTTGCATTTGCCTCCGCACGGCACCATGACAAATTCTCTTTCTCTCCACGAGTCCTTCACTTGTCGCAAAAACTCCTCCAAAGCAGACTCCCCTTGGGCCTGTACCAAGACGTCGCGAATATCGGCTTCGTTGGAGGCCAGGTCAGCATCTAAAAGAATGCACAAGAGTAAAACAACCAGCAGTTACTGCAGCTGTCAAGACTCTCTGCAATCAAGTCCTCTCTCCGCAACTGCAGTAAACTGCTACGAAAACGCAAACATGCGGCTGGACGAGATAACCCAACCAACACACAAACACAGGGAGAAAGGAACAAGAGCAGCCAGCCTGCGCATACCCTGCTCTACACACTAGGGTTGCTGTTCCTGTCCGACAGTGCGTATGCACGTCTCACCCCAAAGGTTGCCTATGGTCATGTCAGTAAGGGATTTGCGTATCTTTAGTTTGGAAAGAATAATTTTCCAGTGTCTTTCCTTGAGAGCGTCTGTCTTCATGTCGGTGATGAGCATATTCAGCGACAGAAATTTGTTTATCTTTTGTTTCAACTCCTCAAATGCTTCGTACTGACGGAACCTGGCAGGTATTTGCTTTATCCTCTCCAGCAGCGACTCCAGCGCGCTTCTGATTTGCTTCGGTACGACGGCGGCCCACAGGGTTTCTCGAAGACCAGCCAGTTCTGTGTGCAACCCGCCCAAAGCTTGCCAAACCCCCTTCATATCTGCAATTTCCTCTGCGAGCGCTGAAGGGGAGAACGCCTCCCCTCCGGGCCCATAGGCAGTGTCTTCCACCCCCAGGACTGCCTTTGCCTTCTTCCCACATTCATAATCCGATGTGATCTTCTCGAGCTGTTGTTCGTACTTCCTTAAGATGTTCATCGCATGCCCAGGGGCTATGTCGTCTCGTACAGGACGCTGCAACATCCAGTCCGAGTACAGCTGCTGGAGTTTCTCCTGCAGGGTGGCGGCGAATTGCGTTACGAGAGCGATGAGTTGTTCTCGCACTTGCTCCACCATAAATCCCTGGTGTCTCAACAGCTGCAAGAACACCTCCATCTCCCCTTCAATCCTGTCTGTCCAGAGCCAGTCGCTTGGGAACGTGTAGCGCTGCCTTTCTAGCAGGCGCTCACTAGCTCTCAATGTGTCAATGGTGGCGCTCCATTTGGGCTCTAGCTTGCTCGCCTCCTGCAACTTCAACAGAAACTTTGTGAGGTTTGAGACGATATTGGAGATCAGTTCATCTCCAATGAGACCTTGGCTGCTGATGAGAGCGGACATCTGCGCCTCTGACATTGAGAGGAAGGTCGCCGCGTTCATGGTGGTATCCGTAGGATCCGCTGCCTTTCCTTGTTCCTCCAAGTCCACCACCATTGCATGCAGAGCAGTAAAGACTGAACTTGCATTTGCAGCCACCTTCTGGCCAAATGCATGCAGAATGTCGCGGTGCCAGGCGTCATAACGCGTATTCAACTTCGCCTGCACCTGGTGGTGATCCACAATGGTAGGGCCGAACATTATACGAGCTTCGCTGTTGTCAAAAGGACTCCTCGCTTGTTTTATTTCATTCAACAGTTGCTGCCACGTCTCGATGTCGTCGCCCAGCTTTCCAAGCACTTCGCTCACATCCACGTCCCAAAGTACTTGATAGTGCATCCAATTACCCACGTAATCTTCTACCTTCTCCATCACCCCTGATGCACCCAAGCACAAACAATAAACCGTCACATAAATACATTCATGGAGGGCTTGAAAACAACTAATAACCAAGAAACTGCACTGCTCCCTGCTGCCCGTGCCCGTGTGAAGAACAAGCTAAGAAAACGCGCATCAAATCGACTCTGCCTCTGCAAACAATTCAGAGTTTGTGAGGGCACGCTAAGAATCAAAAACCCACTGTCAATGGCGGCATGCGCCCTGTTCATGACATCGGGTGGAATGCGAGAAGCGATGGCCCTGTAGGTGCCACGCGATTGGGGCTTGATCGGATCTTCGTTCTCCAGATTCTCCTCATCTGTATCGTCATAATCCCAAGCAGTGGGCTCCCCACCGAACTTCAAAGGTCTCGCACTATTTCTCGAATTAAAGCGAGGCAAAAGACACACGGATGCCACGACGCGGTTCAAGCTGCCCATCCAGAGTTGACGCGCCGCCTCCACCGCTGGGTGTACTTGCAGGACTTGGTTTTTAACCTACAGTGGAATAAACAAAAAACTTCAACCACAAATAAGCTCACAGTGCATGCATGCATGCATGCGTGTATGCACTGGAGCAGTTCCTGAAACATGTTTCACCTGTAAAAGTTATATCTAACTCCAGCAGCTTTCTCTCCGACCAATTGACTGGTTGTTTGGTGCTGCTGCAGCTAGGCTAAGATGTACACCCACCTGGATTTCCAAGACGAGTCCATTTTGAATTAATGCAGTGCCCTTGTTCGGCCAGTCCTCAAATTGCTCTGTCCACTCCTCTACGAGTTTGATGAGGCGTTGAGTTAAAATTGCCTCCACCCGACTTTCCAGTACTTTCGTCCAATCTCGGATGTTGGAGTAATTCTGCAAGTGCTGCTCTTCAATCAACTTCTGTACATTTTGCAGAACCTGTGGCATACGAAAGCAGACACCACCACCAGAGCAGCAAAATGATTACTGTTGACGCCTACTAGACATGCGTGTTGTGCAGCGCGCTCGCGCTTCCATAGTCAAAACGTGTGGAACTAACAAGGCCAAAAATTTGAAAGTGTAGCTATACGCACAAAGGCGCCAGCAGCAGAACCTTGGACAGTTGCTACTTTTTCTCTCTGCAACTACTCTGTATTAGCCTTATAATATCCTGTTCACACTGCATGACTGACAGCGAGAATGTCTTGGTAAGGGGCATCGATTGGTTTGTCCTTCAAAGTGTCGATCTCCTTGATGGCCTTATCATGCTGCTGCAGGGCGAATTCCGCCTTTGCCTCGAACACGTAGACGATTTCTGCGAGGCGTTTGACGTACGTCTCCAGACGGTCTGAGTCCCAGCAGAGGTTCATGCCCTCTGCAAGCTTCCCCTGAGAGTCGCGTTGATAAGAAGCTACCAGTAAGGCGACAGCTGCCTCATCTGCTCCTCCATCAGAGAATGTAGACGAACCAGATGTCGAAACCGTGTCCCCCACGCTCGCACAAGATTCCATGTAAGTTCTCAAAACTTCTTGCAAAGTAATCGCAAAAGGATACAACACCTTCGCCTCGTCAGCCATCACCTTAACAGAATACGGGACGCGAAACTGCAGTGCCGAGAGAAGTCTAACCTGAAAGCGAGTGAACATTTGAAAAACACAAACAAGCAGTGAAGCGCAATAAACCAACAAACACACATGCCATTCGAAAACCATGCATGAACAACACCCTCAACTCCCTCCCCAACATGAAACTGCTTAAACACCTTGCAGCAGCGGCTGTCGCAACCGTTTCACTCACCTCCTTGAACAGCGTGAGCATATCTTTGTCGAAATTCACAGCTAATTCAAGGCGGCCTGCCCCCCAGTCTTGCAGGACGAAGATCCTCTCTCCAGTGTCCAGTCGTTTCTGGTCTCGCACGACATTCAGCCAGCTATCGAAGTGCTCCTGAGGATTGAGTTTGGCGCGAAAGAAGTCGATATCCAATTTGAGTTTCTGCCCTTCGACGTGCTGCTCCCACCCCTTGCCTAGCACGTCCTGAATCCTCTGTACTAGCGCATCCAGCCGCCTTTCTACTTGCTTCCCCCATACAATCATTCCTGCAACTCTGGGCATGTCGCGCACCTCGGCCATGGTGCTCGACTCCACCTTTTGGTGGCCTTCTAGAAAGATGCCCTGCAGACGTTTCAGGTCTTCCTTAACCACCTGAATTAACTTGGTCTGGTACTCCTGAATAGCCCCTCTGATGCGCGGTCTGAAGAAGAGTGCGTTGAACTGGGAGAAGACGCGGAACATCTCAGCTGACGTCTTCGACGCACCAAGACGGTCTCGCAATTTCGCCGTAATCTGCGACTCCACGCGATCGATGCGCGTGTCGTAGGCTTTCTGGCCCGCCTCCCAAGCCTCTTCTCCGGTACGACTCACGTCTAGGACGTCAAGTGCTTCGATGATTTGGTAAGCTGCAGCGATGTCCTTCTGTGCAGCCACATCTCTGCCGCTGCCGTCGCCCAACACGCGGTTCAAGACCTCCTTTAGCCGGTGATGCTGTCGTCTAAACTGCCGCACCTCCACGATGCGCTCTTGCAGTACCACATGCTCGCATACGAGTTTCGAGGGCGGCCTCTCGTTGAGCCCTCTTTTCTTAGACAACTCCCTCACAGTTTCCCTGAAATGCCGCACTTCTTCATCCCACGTCCTGAACAACTCGGAACAACCAGCGGCTGTGTGCTCGAACTCCTCGTAAGCCATTGCAATCAAGTTCTGTCTCGAAGTGATGCTCAGCAGTTGAGTCGAAAGATCCCGACTGAGCGCCTCCACCAGAAAATACGCTCGGCTTAAAGGGTAGAGCGTTGCGTTCTTCAACTTTCGCATGTGCGCAAAGATGGTGCGTACCGCCTGAGTTAGCTGTTCAACAGTTTGGGCACTGCACAAGTCGTTCAAAGGGAAATCCCGCATTAGAATGTTTGTATTCTGCACAATTTCAGTCGCCTGCTTCAAACCTGAGTCCTGCTCAAATGACATCGTTGCAAACACCTTTCGCGTGTGCTTCAACACCGTCAACGTAAACTCCGCCTCCGTCGTCTTCAGCTGGTCCTCCACGTGTTTCAGCGCTCTTTCAAACCCCAACCAGAAATTCACTTCCTCTGCAGCAGTGCCAGTGCTTGGGTCGCTGCGCAACACCAAACACCACAGGAGCACAACACCAAATATATCATGTTTCAGGCCGTGTTGGGTTGGCAGCTAATTACGGTGGCCTGCCATTTCTAATCTCCTTTCTTCTCAGTGCCCCACCCCTACACCCTAAACCCCAAACCTTGAATTCTAAACAATGTACACAGATGCTAGAGGCTCTGACCACCTCTGAATTTGCACAATACTGAATAGGAAAGGTTTGCAGGGCGTCAGACGTTTCGCCTGGGGAGGGCGGATGGGGATCTGCTCGAATCTCACCGCTGCATTCTGCAGACCTTTTGGATGTCTTTGATCCATTTGTTGACGTGGGATTGTAGAGCAATGAGGTAAGTGCTGTCTTGCAATTTGTCGCCCAAGTCTTCAACTACGGGTTTGCGTTTCTCAGCTGCTGCCTTCATGACTGCTGCTTTGATCACCGAGTCGATGGGCAGCTCAATCAAGGGAATATCTACATTTTGTTGGGCTTGCTGCACCGCCAGCACCAGCTCTCTGAGTTTCTTGCTGACGGTCTGCATGCCATGAGAGGCGCGCGCTGCTGCTGCTGCTTCATCTGCTGCTCCTCCATCGACGCCTCCATCAGCAGCAGCTGCTGCAGTCTCCTCCTCGGAGGCGGTCTTCAGCAACGGGCCGAAGCCTCGCTGCATGTACATCTCTGTCACGTCTAAGAGGCTCTCTTCCTCTCCAAAACCACACCTCATGATTGCAAGCTGAGGCCCTATTGGCTTGGTGATCACGTGTGTCGCCCTACCTTCCCCGTCCTCCCCCTCCTCCGTCTCCCTCTCTGCTGCTTTCTCATCTGCTAGGCTGAACCCAGGCCTCTTGATAAACGCAACACTACAGGATCTCCCTCCTGCTCTAGCAACGAATCCGAGGTCGACATACAAGTTGTAGTTTTCTTCTTCGTCATCCGCGTCAAATGCAGCAGAAACCGGCTGCTCCCCCTCTCCAGGTGTCTTGTCCGCTGCACCCTCACGAGCTACCTCCTTGCCAATAACCAAAACCCCAGGCTGCTGCTCCACAAGGAAAGGCTTCAGCACCGTCTCCGCCTGTGCTGACAGCAACTTCTGCAGCTGCTGCCGGCTGCACCCGAGGAGAGGCGGCGTCACCTCTAAAAGGAAATTAATGAGCGAAACCTTCGCCCGCTCCACCGTTCGATCCATGATGAAAGACAGTTGGAGGGGAGAAGAAAGAAGAGATCAGCAGGCCTCTTCAGACAGGCATTAAGAAGCTAACAAAATTCTGAATTGCATGACGGTTGTAGTCGTCTCCGGCTGCTGCCGTAGGAGAGGCCCTGTGGAGGTTGAAGTGTCACTGCAGCTGCTACTGAGTAGCTGTAGTGAGCGCGCATTCGGTTTGTTTGTCAATTCAGTCGGGGTTTAATTCGCAGGAGGAGAAGAAGAGGGGAACTGCCGCAACCGCGGCGTCGACTGATGCTGCACAGGGGACGTTGCGGAAGGTACAGCAGAACAATACGCCGGGACAGTTAAGGTTTGAGGTGTATAAAACTCATATAGTATCATAAGTTCCTCCGCAATGCGTAAATACAGCCGCGCAGATTCAATGGTCCAGAGGAGCAGCCGGCAGCAGGCGTCGCCTCGCTGCTTTCTTTGATGCAATGAGACCCTTCATAGAACCCCGGAAATGGAGAAGAAACGCAATGCTATCCTTTAAATGAAGAGGAAGTATTAAAATAACACATCAAAAGAAATATCGGGTTGGCGGCAATTGAACACTGAACCCGGACCACATCACATGCAACGGTGTACAGGACAAAGAGCAAGAGCTCTCTGTCGTCTTTTCCCTCTGTCACTGAGGGGAATCATAAAGACTGTAGAAATAGTTTCTTAACAAAAGGAACTTAAACAAATAGAGCTGCGGTGTGTTCCTGTTGCAGGAATGCATGGCTTCCGTCAGGCCTTTGCTCCACGAGCTCGCTGGTCGTGTGAGGCAATTTCATCAGCTGCGCATACACCAGGTAAGTTAAAAGAGCATTTGTCTTTGTAAGCAGCACATTTCATTACCGCAAGGACGTTTTCGTCTAATTATTTACGAAAAATGCATTTATTATATTTTAGAACTGCACTAGTGTAGACATAGGTCTCCTGGTGTCGCTGGGGGCCGCGTGAATGCCACTCCGACTGGTCGACCCCGTAGTGGGTGCCTCGAGGATCTTCTCTGCCTCTGTGTTCGTTTTTAATGTAATTTATTAATTGGAGACGTGTAATAATTAATAGTTTTCCGCGAAAAATAATGCGAATATGTAAACATCGACCCCCGAGTGTCCGACACACACAGAGAGGGCGTGCAGTGCCCTCCGCCCTGTGGAGTTGTTGCAACGATCTGGGCTCATGCTCCCTTATTACCTTCTTTTTTACGTTTTTATGAAGAGCTTTAGCTTGTGTTTGAGGCCATTTCCCCACTGAACGTCTATCTCACTTGCGAATCTTTACATGAACCTTCTCCATCGGATGAATATGCCAGGGTGCAGCCGTCTTATTATTATTTATGAAGTTCTTTGTCTTTTATGAAGCTGTTAGGGCACCCGAGTTGCTTCAGTAGATCGACGTCTACGACCCCGTCTCCCTCCCCTGCAAGACCGTCGCAGAGTTGTGAGCGAAGAGGAAGGAGAACGCGTACAAAGGCAGAGGAAGAAAGAGCATTTGTTTGATTTGAAATTAAGTTTTTTTTCTTAGTTTGTGGATTGTGTGAGCACGCAATTCCCTTCCTCCCATGGAGCCTCCTGGTTAAGAGCCTCTGGCTGGGGCGCCCTGTGCGTCTCTGAGGGGTTAGCAATACAATTGCTGAACTCTTACTATGCATGTTAGTTGTGTCGTATTGGCGGTGACTGCCGCCATCTTCTCCTCCCTCTTCATCTGTCCAGACACCGCAAACTGCGGCATTGCTGGCCTTCACAAATGGTTTCGTCAGCGCTTCCCGCAGGCTGTGCGGCAGGTTAATAAAAATGATATTATAGAAGTTGATCATCTTCTCTTCGACTTGAACCAGCTCCTGCATCAGGTACAAGCTGTTCTTTTTACTCCTTCTCCCTTCCCTTATATTTGTTCTTCTTCTACAGTTCTCTCCTCAGCTATGCCCGCTCTTCGTGCTGCTCTTTCATTCTCTTTCTTGCTGCTGCTGTGGCGTCTTCAGGCGGCTCTGACATCGCCTTCATCCTTTTCAAGAAAAGAAAAGGGTTCCCCTGCTGAGGGGGCCCCTGGTGTGCTCCCCCCGGGGGGTCCTATGGGGGCCCCCATGGGGGCTGTGGGTGGAGGCCCCCTGATGGTCGCTGAAGGGGCCCCCCTGGGGGCCCCTAGTGGTTCTTCTCTGAGTAGCAGTGCTGCAGACAGCCGCGTGTTGCATGCGCTGTGGTGTATAATTCGTAGCACATTTCGGCGTTTCAAGGTGAAGAAGAGTGTTGTGTTTGCAATAGATGGAGTGCCTCCTCTGGCTAAGCTGGGGATATCACAGCTGAGGAGACAGAGAGCAGCGCGAGTGGGGCTTTTATCTGCATGCATTGAGCGGAGTCTAGCAGGGCCCCCTCAGTTGCCAACAAACACAAGCACAAGTGCCATACAAACGGAAACGAAAAACAAGGAAGAGACAGATGAACAACAAGGAGAAGCAAGACAAATCAATGGAGACAACGATACACCAGCGCCAGCAGCAGCAGCCGCAGCAGCACCTAAGAGGTCCTCCGCTTACAGCATTCGTAAGAACGCTGAGAGTGCTGTGGTGATGGTGGAGGAGGTGGCGGGGTTGTTAACTGTTTCTTGCGCTGCTGCATCGTTGTTGCTGAACTTATTACAAGGAGAGCCTTCTTCTTCTGCCGGCTGTCTCCTCATTGCTAAGAATTGCTGCTTTTTCTGTCTCTCTTCAATTTTTCATTCTATTTGCTGTCTTCGCGTTTAGAGTAACTTGAATTATTAAACCCACTGCACACACTGTCCGCCGCATGCGTGAGGGGAAGCCGTTGCTTGGGGGGGCTTTAGGCGCCCTGTGCATTATCTCTTTGTTTGTTCTTTTGTCTTTGCTGTCTGTGCATGCATCGTCCTTTATGCTTCCTGCATCCTCTCTCCTTGAAAGTGACCCAATTCTTCACTTTCTGCTGGGCTGTATGTACAAACAGCTTCTTTTTTTTCGTTATCTTCTTAATAGAGCTTTTCTTTGTGTGCTGGGGTATATTTCTGCATGCAGCTTCTTTTCTACTGTCTCCTGGGACATACTTCATGCGGCGAGTGGAGACAGAGTGTAAAAGACTGGCGAAGCAACTCCTTCGGTCGGGTCGTATTAAGGCCCCAAAGTAAGGAGACAGATGCTGCACTTGAAACAAACCCAAACACAAAGAAACAAGTCAATTAGCTATACACCAGCCATTTTTGTTAATGTTGCATTTGTTGTTGTTGTTGTTGTTGTTGTTGGTTGTGTTGCTGCTGTCTCCTTGTGTTTTCTCGTGGCCTTCTTGTTGCTGTTCATACTGTTGTTCTGCTGCTAATGTTGTTGTTTATAACTATTTATCCTTTTACTCTAACAGTTGTAGTTGGTGTGTGTCATCCTACACGCCACAACAGCACACATCTCCACGCACAAAAGTGCACACTATATATATATAATATGCATATGTAGAGTACGTCACATGTATCAAAAAATAGGCACTCCTTTCATCTAAATATATAGATATGAAAATATATATGTATATATTAGTTTATTTAATGCCTTCAGGGTTTTTCTTTCGGGTTCGTCTTCGTTTGGAGAGGGGGAGTTGAAGTTGGCGAATTGGATTTGTGAGGCTTCAGAGAGGGGACGGCGAGAAAAAGAAGACAAGGAAGAAAAAGAAGAAAAGAAAGGAGGAGGAGAGAAGGAAAGAAAAGAAAACAAAGAGTTTGATATGCTGAACATGGGGCCTAATGATAGTATTGTTATTATTGGAGGAGATGCAGATTTAGTTGTTCAGTGCCTCGCTCTACCTTCTTCTGCAAATCTCTTTGTCTATACACCCCAAAATATCGCCAACTCTAAGAACACGAGAGGTAATTATAAAGAAAACCAACTCAACTCATTAACCCTCTCTTCTTTTGCGTTTCTCCAGTATCGGTTTGCTCTTCTTTCCTTCCTCTTTCACCTTGCAAGCTTCTGCTGCTGCATGCAGCAGCAGTGGCTTGCATGCAGCTGCCTCCGGGTGTACATACAGATAAACACTTCGACAGACAAGAAAAAGCAAACAAAAACACACGCAGTAAAAATCCACAACCCCGTGTGCATGCACATGCATGCAATCACTCCTACACGTAATCCCGTGTGCATGACTGCTGGGATGCAGATTTTTCTGTTTTTGCATTTGCATGTATTTAGATATGCATTGCATGCGCTGCTCAGTAATTTATTCTCTCCGCGCGCTGCTAGGCGAACTCGAACGGCTATTTCCTGGTGAGGAGACAACAGGTGTAAATGGGGCCATTCATTCATTCCTCCTGCATGCATGCTTGCATGCATGGATGCATGTATGGATGCATGCGTGCAAGCGTATGCGCATGTGTGCATGCATACATGCATGGATGCATGAATGCGCATGCAGAATGAGGGGAGATCGCTCTCGGTTTATGCAGAATGAAGGGAGAACGCGTGCATGCATGCATTGATGTCGTTTCTTTATTTTCTGAATTGAATGGAAGCGCATGCAACCCAGTGCGGGCTACTATAAATTTTCAATTTTGTGTTTTTCTTCACCTGCTTATACAATATGTATAATATATATTTACTATATATGTATTTTTTTTGCGTACTTGTTTATACTTCGTTTACTCAGGAAACTCCCACCTCGCACGAAACGACCTCGCCCTTCTGTGCATTTTAAACGGAAATGATTATCTCCCTAAACTGCCTGGCTTCTCCTTCGCTCGATTTATTGCTGCTTATGAGGCAACCAGACGCAGGTACCCCCAATCATTGTACATGCATGCATGCATGCATGCATGCATACATACACGCATGCAAGTCCGACCTTAGCTTAGGCATTTGTTGCTCTGTTTGCTTGGGTGTGGTAGGGAATAAGGGGTATTTTTTTGATTGGTTTGTAAGGATTTGTTGGTTGTTTTGTCTGCGCGACTTTTACTGCTGCTTCTTCTCTTAGGCCTGAATTTCGTAGTTCTTCGTGGGTGGATGCTGCGGGGCGTTCATTTAATTGGGAATTTTTTGTTGTTTTGTTGGAGGAGTTATCTCGTCTTCAGAGTTTTGAATTAGTGATGAAACAGAGAGAAGAAGCTTTAAAGCAACAGCAGAAGAAAGCAAAAGAAGCCGCAGATAAAACAATCTATAAAGCCTCTCCATTGCAAATAGTGAATCAACTTGTCGCGCAGAAAAAACTCCTCGTTTTCAATGACAATGATAATGCGTTCGAGTGTACAGACACCCCAACGCAGCATAAATTGCAAGTACGTGACAGACGGCACCACTTTTTTTCTGCATTTCTTCTTTCCATTGTATTATCAAACCGTTTGCAAATGATGCTATATTCGTTGTCTGTACACTCCAGCGTCTCATCCTTCTCGCTGCTCGCCTTCAGCTGCATTTGTATCCTCATCATATATCTCTACGTCTTCTTCTCTTTCATAACACAAACCCCAGAGCTATCTATACACCCAAGCCGCAAGCTGACCAACTGCCGCTGCATTTCTTTTTTGTTTGTTTTTCCAGTGGAGCTTCCAGCAACACGAAAATGGATTTCAATGCGACATCGAGTCCCAGTTAAGAGGGGCCCCTACCAGAAACCCTGCACAAGCAGAGGGGCCCCTCGACGCCAACCAGCACAACCCCACCAACTCTGTTGAAGGGCCCCTTCAGGATGAGGGGCCTCTTCAGAATGGGGTGCCCCTTCAGAGTGTGGGGCCTCATCAGGGTAGGGGGCCCCTTCAGGATGTGGGGCCCCAACTGACTGGGGGGTCCCATCAGAATGGGGGGCCCCATTTGAATGGAGGGCCCCTTCTTCAGGATGTGGGGCCTTTGCAGAGTGTGGGGCCGCACAGTTTTGAGGGGCGGTTGGGGGGCGTTGCGAGCAGCGCAGCAGACAAGAAGACAGCGCAGCAGAAGGCAGCATTGAAGCTGCTGCAGCAGCACTTCCCTCAGCTGCTGCAGTTGGTCGAAGACGGACCCTGGAACGAAGCCAGAAGCGCAACGCAGGCAGAACAAGAGATGAGGGAGGGGATCGATCCCGATCCCGATCCCGATCCCGTTTCTGCTGCTACCTTTCTGAAGGCTGCTGCTGTCCTTCGCGCCACCACTCCTTCCAATACTTTGAATAATCTTTGCTTGGTCCGTCTGCACGGAGACAAACACCAATAACTAATAATAATAATAATAATAATAATAATAATAATAATAATAGTAATACTGGTGGTGATAGGATCTGCGTGGCGTTGTTTTTATGATTTGCTGTCTACTGCAGCTGCAGGCCGCTTATAGTTTTTATTTGTTTTTTTCATTGTTGTTCTCTTTTTTATTTTTTGTTTTTGTTTGCCTGCTTGGCGTTGTTTTTATTAAACTGCGGATGCAGGCTGCTCTGCACAGCCCCCCAACTTTTTGTTTTGTTCAATGCACAGCAGCAGAAACAAAGAAGGAAAATAAAGCAGACGAAAGTACTCCTAATGATGACAACCAAACAGCAGCAGCAGCAGCAGCACCAGAAGCAGCAGCAGCAGCAGCAATAGCAACATCTACAGCTGCAGGAACAGCAGCTGCAGCTCCAGAGGCAGCTGAAGCAGTACCAGCAGCAGCACCACCACCAGCCCCAGAATCAGCAGCAGCTGCAGCACTAGCAGCTGCAGCACCAGCAGCGGCGGCACCAGCAGCAGGAGCAGCAACAGGAGCAGCAGCAGCAGCGCCTTCTGCTTCGGCTGGAGATGGGTATCGGGCTGAGGTCGTAGTGGGAGGCCGAGTAATATTTTCGTGTCTGCTGCAGCTGCAGCAAGGGACAGCAAAAGGCAAACTAAAACATGCAGTTAGCATGAGGGTAAGAAGAAGGCAATACCCCTATCTCCACTTAGCTAGCTAGCCGTCAGAGATGTAGCTAGCCAGCCGTCTGCAGGTGTAGCTAGCTAGCTGCTGCAGCTATCGCTAGCTAGAGACACCTGCAGATGGCTAGCTATCTACACAAAGAGATAGCTAGCTAGCTACGCCAGCAGATCGCTGGCCAGATGCACCTGCAGGTAGCTAGCTAGCTATACCAGCGGATAGCTAGCTAGCTAGCCACGCCTGCAGGCGGCTAGCCACTAGACCCCTGCACAGTGTAGATAGCAGCAAATGCCTTCAGATCCCTTCAGAACTCCACCCCTCTAACTTTACCTCCTATGGTGCACGCTTCATCAGAGACAGTACTAACGCTACAACTGCTGCTGCTTCTGCTGCTGCTACTCCTGCTGCTGCTGCTGCTGCTGCTGGTCTTGCTGCAGGCACTTGAGGAGTTTGCTGCTGGGCTGTATTTGGCACTGAGGGCGCAGGGCTGGGACAAAGACGGATCGCAGTCTGCGCCCAGTGGCTGTAGCGCCTCTGCAGCAGCAGCAGCAGCAGAAGCAACGGAAGCAGGTGCAGCAGCAACAGCAGCAGAGGGAGGAGCAGCAGCGGGAGGGGAAGCGGCTGCAGCAAGCGAACCAAAGGGAGCAACAGCAGCAGCAGCAGCAGCAGCAACAGGGGAATTAGCAGCAGCAACAGCTGCTGCTGATTCTTCTGCTGCAGCAGCAGGGGCAGCTTCGGAGGAGGCCAGCGCAGCAGAAGAACGCGAAGCAGATATATATCTTGAAGGTAATATAAAATTGTAAACAACAAACAACAAATAAACAACAACAACAAACAAAATAAAAACAAACATGAATAACATGCATGCTGAGATTCTTCTGTCTCATCTGGGCCTTTGCTGTATTTTGCTGTCTTCTCTTTGTTGATGTTTTTAATTTATTTTGTTTGCGTCTTCACTTTTTGTTTGTTTATTTGTTTGTTTGTGGGGTTTGTTTTTTGTTTTTGTTTGTTGGCGCATGCGCTGCTGGGGTGTTCGTTGTTTGTTTTATTTTGTCTTGTCTCTATTTCTTTTGTTTTTTATTTATCTCACTTATTAATATTATGTATGTTTTATATATTTTATTTTGTCTGGTCTCTTCTTGCTTCTGTTTTTCATTTCTTTGTTCTCTCCCTTCCTTCGTCTGTCTCCTCCTTTTTCTCTCGCCTTCCTCTGGGCACTATTAGCATTTAAAGCACACTTTTCTTGTTTTTGTTCTTGTTGAATTAGCGTTTGGTGTTATTTTGTTGTTTGTATTTTTGTCTCTTGTTTATTTTGATATTTCTTTCTTCTGTTTGTTTTTTTTCTTGTTTTTCTTTTTCTTCTGTCTGCTCTTGTTTTGGTTTTATGCCTGCTGTCTTCTTTTTCTGCTTGTGCTGCTGCTGCTGCTGGTTCTGCTACTGCTTCTGTTGCTGCTTCTGCTGTTGCTTCCTCTGTTGCTGCTTCTGCTGTTGCTGCTGCTGCTGCTGCTGTTGCTGCTGCTGTTGTTGCTGCTGTTATCTTTTCAGGTTTGTTATGGAATTTGCAGATGTATATCTACGGCCTTTGCTGCGACAACTTTTGGCATTTCCCCTTTCCCTCCGCTCCTTCTCTCCTTGCACTCAGACAAACTGTACGTAAACGCATGCAGGCAGCAGCAGCAGCAGCAGCAGCAGCAACAACAACACTCCCAGAAGCACCAACTGCAGCAGGAGCAGCAGTGCAAGCAGCACCAGCCCCAGCAGCAACACCAGCAACAACAGCCCCAACAGCAGCAGCACAAGCACCTGCAGCGGCAGCAGCAGCAGCGGCATCATCATCATCAGCAGTAACAGCAGCAGCAGGAGACGGGCTTCCGGCCGCAGCTCCTTCACATTGTTCTCCTTCGCCAGTACCGGAGTGTCTGTACACCGCAGCCCTTCTTTCGAAGGCCTCCCTTCTCGCCCTCGAGGATCGGGAAAGGGAGACAAGGGGCTCCCAGGGGGCCCCCATGGGGGGCCCCCTGGGGGCCCCCCTAACGCAGCGATTGCTTGCAGCACGGCGGCTCTTAGAGGCTATAGCAGCAGCTTCAACTTCTTCTGTTTTACATGCAAATGAGAAAGAGTTACAGGGGCTAGAGCAGCAGCAAAAGGACATTAAAGAGACAGAAAAGAATTCTAATAAAGGGCACCGAGAGAAAAACAAAGAAAAACAAAACACCAACAAAGACCTCCGAATCAACGCAAGTAAGCAGCGCATGCATGCAACACAAAAAACGCCGTAGCAGCAGCAGCAGCAGCGACAGTTGCTGCTGCTGCTGCTGGAGCTGTTCATACACAGCAGAGCTAAGCTGCAGCTGGCCGGTGTGCCCGATGCAGTAAGCAGAACGGGAAGCCTCTAAATAGTTTGTTTATTATTATTATTATTGTCATTATTCTATTATTTGTAGTTTAGTTTTTGTTGTTCTTCCCTCTGTTTATGTTATACGCATCTAATCTTCTTCTTGGGGTGTACAGGCACCGTCTTGCTCGCGATGCGTATGCTAGAGCAGCAAAAGCAGCAGCAGCAGCAGCGGCAGCAGCAGCAAGACCAGCAGGGGCAGCAACAGAAGGACCAGCAGCAGCAGTTGTTTCCCTTGTGTCTCGCATCTGAGACAGTCGTCTCGCATGCGGCTTCTCTCTTCTCAGCTGGCAGCAGCAGCAGGAGCAGCAGCAGTAGCAGCAGCTGGACAGTGTTTAAGCGCGGAAGTGGGGGCCTCTCTTCGTTCCGTATTAGCGAGTCGAGGGCCCCTATTTTTGCTGCTGCTGGCCTCAGCAGACCCTGGGACAAGCCCCCCACCGATGTGCACCGCTGCTTCTTCTCTCTCCGCATCACCCCACGAAAAGCAAAACATATTCAATCACTAAATCTTCAGCAAGGCAGCAGCAGCAGCAGCAGCAGCACGGCTGGAGAGGTGGGGCCCACAGCGAGTAGCAGCGCCGGTGCCGAAGCGGCCACAAAGCCACTCTATGCTCTTCCAACTCGTCCCCGCGTAGGGGCCCCCTGCGTGGGGGCCCCCTGTAGGTCCCAGGGCGCCCCTGGCTGGCACTTAGGGGGACCCCCAGGGCCCTCAACTGTGCTGCATGCATTGCAACCTCCTAAGAGCAATTGCTGCAGCGCAGTTAGGGGCCCCCCACGGCGTTTAGGGGTCGGGGGGCCCTTCTGCACGGACTGTCAACTGAGGGGGGCCCCCCTTAACCGATGGTTCCTGGGGGGCCCTGGGGGCCCCCGGGGGTCCCTAAGAGGGCAGCACAAGTGCTGCCAGAGGAAGCGATAAGAGAAGCAGGGGTCTTGTACAACAAGGAAGAGGCGCCTCAGGGACAGCCGAGTGGGGCTAGATGAGGTGTACATACACCGCAAATTGTAGGCGCAGCTAATGCTGTGCAACAAAAAAGTACAAGCTTAGTTTTGCTGCTGCGTTAAAAAAAAGGAGTGTAGGCCCCAGGGCCCCTTTCTCCTTTCATATTTCCTGTAAGCCCCGAGTGGCGGTGGCTTCTTAAAACACTTTTAGGTTGTGGGGGCCCTTGGGGTGTATTGGGGCCCCACAGGGGCCCCTATGAGTTTACTGCGCTGGGGATTAGGGGCCCCACACGGGCCCCTACCTACCCTAACCGCAGTACCCTCACACTTAGCCCCCATAATCCCTTTTTATTTAGACCTCAGGGGGCCCCCTGAGGGGCCCCTCATGGGCCCCTTGAGGGGCCCCCCTGGGGGCCCCTAGAAAGACATTTCGGGTGGCCCCTGTAGGGGAATTTTTAGCGAATGTCTTTTAATTTATTTGGTTTAAAGGCTTCATTTGGGGGCCCCTATAGTGGGGGGCCGACCTCATTTAATAGAGGCACCTCAAGTAATAGAGGCACCTTACGTAAGAGCCATCTCCCTACCCGTGCAGAAGGGGGGCACCCCCCCTTCTGCACGGCCCTCAGGGGCCCCTAAGGCTGTTTATGTGGATTGGGGGCCCCTTCAGGGCCTGTTTGGTTCTTGTTGCCGCTGGGTTTGCTGAGAGGAGGGAGGCATGGTTCGGGTGTATCTAGTACTTGGGGTGTCTTTGTTAATTGAGGCGTGTCTGTTAATTGCTGTGTTTTTATTGATTGCTGTGTCTTTGTTAATTGAGGTGTCTTTATTAATTGCTGTGTCTTTGTTTGTTGAGGTGTCTCTGCTAATTGAGGTGTCTGCCTTGATTTCACAGCAGGCAGCGGCTCAGAAGAGAGACAGCAAGCAGCAGCAGCAGTAGCAGCAGCAGCAGTAGCAGCAGCAGCAGAAGAGTTTGCGTAGAACAGCATACGAGCCAGTACAGCAGCGCTCGGGTCTAAGCGCTGTCTCCTCCTGCGCACCATAAAACAAAACAAACAAAACAACAAAAAATAAAACAATTAAAAATAAAACAATTAAAAATAAAATAATCTCCTCTGTAGCTTGCCCCATGCACTAAATAATAATAATATATATGTATTATATATATATATATATACATTGTGACGAGTGCATAGATCGGCATTACTAAGCCGGGCAAACCCAGCAGAAGAAAATCTCCGTGACAACAAATAATGAATATATACTCAGACAAACAAACGAATAAAAGATATAGATATAGATAGTTGTATATATATATATATATCTATAGTTAGATAGCTAGATAGACATAGGTAGACAGATAGATTGATTGATTGACAGAGAGAGAGGGAGAGAAAGAAAGAAAGAAAGAAAGAGAGAGAGAGAGAGAGACAGAAAGAGAGAAAGAGAGAGAGAGAGAGAGAGAGAGAGAGAGAGAGAGAAGAGAAAGAGTGAGAAATGTGATGGTTGGAGCAGTATACTGCACCCTAATTGTTCATAGTAATGCCAATTACCGTTTCTTTCTCAAATAGAAGACAGGGGCCTCTTCTTTCTTTTCTTGCTGTTGTGTTGTTGCTGTCTTGAGGGGGCGCCCTTCTAGTAGCTTGGGGGTTTCCTTTTCTTCACTTTCTGTGTCTGCCTCCTCAGAGCAGCAGAACTCTCTCTTGTGTTTGCGGGTTTCTCGTACAGGAGGACTCAAGGGGCGGTCTTCTGAGGTGTGCGTACACCTCGTTGCTGTTGCTGCTGCTGCTGCTCGTTGAGTGCTGCTTTCTTTGCTGTCTGTTGCAAGAGCCTGTTCTGTGTCGCCCGCGGCTTCCATCATGTGGCCGGGGTCTATGAAGAGCAAATAACTAAATTAATGAGTTATGCATTCATTGTAATGTGCGTGGTTGACGGCATTCTAACGAACCGCAACACCATACGAACTCTGAGGTGTACGTACACCCGGAAATATTGCAAGCCGCCGCATATTTCCTCTGCTCAGAAGAATACGAGGAAACTGAAGATTATAAAGCGGCGTGTCTATCACTCCACTTCAAATGCATTAAAATAAACTGATTTACTTCATAAATATCCAGGAAAAACCCTCTTCTTTCCTTCTTCGGGTGTACATTCAACTCATAAACAGCTACCATTGTTGTACGACGGCTGCCCGGAGGCTTCTGGTTGTTTCGTAGTGGAGTTTTGCTTATTTTGAATAATTGCGTTGGTTTTTACGGTTATTTTGGTTTATTTCTGCGTATTTCCCAACATTATTCAAATTATTTTCCTATTTCTCTCGTCCCCTCCCCCTGTCGTTTCACCACGCCGCAGCGGTCAGCTCAAGGGCTACAGCACCACGATTGACAGAGGGAGTTGCCTGCTGCTGCTGCTGCTGCTGCTGTTGCTGCTTCTCTCAATGAGGGGCTGCTGCAGCAGCAGGGTTCGGGGTTTTAAGGCAGTGGCTGCTGCTGACGTCAGACATATGATATGGGGCCCCCCGCCGGTACAGGGCCCTTAGGCGGGGCTGGGGATGTGGGGGCCCCTCTTCTTGGGGCCCCTGGGGGGCCCTCAGCGGCCTGTTCTGTCTCAGGCAGGGCCCCACCGACAGACGGAGAGGGGCGTGAAGCAGACTCCCTTGGAGCGGTTGCTGTGGAGGTATCGTCTCCCTCCCGTGAGGACCCAGCAGCAGCAGCAGCAGCAGGAGCAGCAGCAGCAGCAGCTTCTGCTGCTGCTGCTGCTACTTCTGCTACCGCTCCAGGGGGTAGCAGTCCTTTGGAGTCTCCGCTGTTGTCTGATGCTGGGGCCCACATTCGGAGCTGCTTTATTTGTCTGGAGGGCCCCAGAAGAGGGCGAGGGGGGGCCCCCCCTAAGCTGCTGCATCCTTGTTGCACTCAGTGTTTTGCTGTTGTTCATGAAAAGTGCTGGTAAGAAATTATTCACCCGCTTACATCTCGGCTAACCACACAGTCTTGCCCTGCTAGTTAGCTAGCCAGGTAGCTAGCTAGAGAAGTAGCTAGCTAGCCAGGTAGCTAGCTAACCAGGTAGTTAGTTATCCAGGTAGCTAGCTAACCAGGTAGTTAGCTAGCCAGGTAGTTAGCTAGCCAGGTAGCTAGCTAACGAGGTAGCTAGCTATGCACCTAGCTAGCTGTCTTGGGAAATGGCGAGGGAGATATGCAGCTACCTAGCTAGCTAGCTAGCTAGCTAGGTAGCTCTGGAGTAGATGGTTGTTGAGTGTGTTGTTGTTTATTTTACTTTGATTTTGTTTGCACAGGACAGCTTACAGACGGAGACAGCGTTTGTCTTCTTTTAGAGCGAGGCTGCTGGGGCAGAGGGCCCCTGATACTATTAGGTGCTCTGTTTGTCGAACGGGTAATAATAAATAAATCAATTTAAATATATTTTCGTCTTTTTATCTATTCAAGTGTATTATTAAATGCGCTTTAATGTATCTTATGTACACTGCTGCTGCTGAGACTACACGTGATACCTCCTACTGCTGCGAGGGTTGCTGCTGCTGCTGCTGCTGCTGATACTCCTGCTGCTAGTGATGCTGCTGCTGCTGCTGATGCAGCAGCGGGGGCGCAGAAATGGCTACAGACAGACAGCAGCAGCGGCAGCAGCAACCAATGCTGCTGCTGTATATATGATGAATTTGTTGTATATCATGCAGACTTCAACGGTTTGGATATCGTTTATATACAAGTCATGTTGCTGTTGCTGCTACTGCTGCTCCATTAGCTGCTGCTCCACTTGCTGCTGCTCCATTTGCTGCTGCTGCTGCTGCTGCTCCAGTTGCTGCTGCTGCTTTATTTGCAGCTGCTACATTTGCAGCTGCTCCATTTGCTGTTGCTGCTGCTGCTGCTGCTGCTGCTGGTGCATGCGTCTCAGGGAGGGGGGGCCTCCCAGCTGATGTGGGTACCCAGGGGCCCCCTCCTGCAGCTAGCGATGGGGCCTCAGCTTTGCAAGAAGAGCTTCTAGCATCTCTAAGTCGTCTGTTAATTGATGAAGAGACAACGCATAATAATGCCTTCTGTTCAGGCTTGTATGCATTTATCAATATTTATTAATATACAGAGCTTATTAATCAGTAATTAAGATATATAAAGATATAAACATAAATATAAATATAAATATAAATATAAATATATATGTATATGTATATATATGTATATAAATATATATGTGTATGTATATATATGTGTGTATATGTGTGTGTATGTAAAGATAAATTCACAAATAAAGATATAAATAATAAATAAAGATAAATGTAGATAATAGGAATAAATGCTTGAATACAAATATAAATGAGTAAATAAAGAAAGATATAAATGTATCGATAGACAAATACATTAAATTAGTTTGTGCTTGTTTTCGTTTATATGCATCTCGTTTTTGTTTATATTGCTGCTGTAGTGTATCTTTATATTCTTGTTGTTTATATTTATATTTTTATAAATATAAATATACTCTTTATATTATGTTTATTGTTTATATTTATATTTTGTCAATTGTTTATGTTTATATTCTTTTTAGTATACTTTTTGTTGTTTTATTTGTTTGCAGTAGCGTCTGTTTTTGATATTGTGTATGTTTTTATTTATATCTCTTTTATGTAAATTCTTTACATTTATATTCTGTTGATTGTTTATATTTAAGTTTTGTTTATTGTTTATTTTTGAGTTAAATTTATTATTTTTATTATTTTATATTTATGTTTTTTTGTTTGTCTGCAGTTGCGTCTGCGCTAATACGGTTTTATTTATTTTATTTTTTTTAGTTGGGGGTTTGCTGGTGGCGTTCAGCGAGATGAGGGGCGTAACAGTATTTCTATTGTCTCTTTTTCTGTACTATCATTTTATTTTATTTCAATTGCTCTTCCTCGCTCTCAAGCAAAGACGGTAAGACAAAGGTGTTGTCTTTATCTCTCTGTTTCTCTTTATATATATATATATATATATATCTCTATATATATATATGTATGTATATGCACATTATATATTATATATATCTTCATCTCTGTCTCTCTGTATCTGTCTCTGTCTCTTTTTCAGTATTTGTTTTCTCTCTTAACATCTCTTGTCTTTTTTACACTTCCGGTGTCTCCATTTGCGTTTGTCTGTCTCTCTTTGTCTCTTTCTGTCTCTCCCTCACCCCATCTCTCTCTCTCTGTGTGTCTCTTTCTGTCCGCCTCTTTCTTTTTGTCTCCCTCTGTCTCCGTCTCTGTGCCTTTATCTCTCTCATTCTCTCTCAAACGGCGACAAATCAAATTCACTAAGCTTTCGGGTGTATAGGCACCTCTAACTTTTGTATACGAGGAGGAAACACTTTGCGTTGTCGTTTATATATGTTTTTCTTTACGTTTTGTTCGTTTGTCTATTTATGCTTTACCTTTTGTTTTTTTTTTGTTGTTTTGATGATGTCTTTTTGTTGTTGTCTTTGTTTTATATCTTCCGTCTGTCTCTCAAATCTAAACACCACTTAATTAATTAATTAAACAAATTAAATTAATTACTTATTAATTAACTAATAATTATTTAATTGCATCTTGTCTATTTCTTTTTATTTCCTACAGAGACGCCTTAGGCCTTCTACCTCCTTCTCCTCAACCTCCTTCTCAAGACCCTCCTTCAGGGGGCCCCCCAACGGGTCGTCATGTGGCGCCTGCAGAAGAGGGGGGCCCCCCTCCCAGCTCCCATAGATATGGGGGCCACCAGGGGGCCCCCCCATCTCCGACAGGGGCCCCAGGGTGGGGGGCTCCCCTTAGTGAGGGCCCCCTTGAAGAGGGGGCCCCCACAGGTAGGGGGGCCCCATGGACACTAGAAGAGGGTACTGAGTTAACAACGCAACATGGATGGGGGGCTTATGGTGTCGCTCTACTTTCTTTCTTCTGGAGGAGAGGCAGCAGAGAGAGGGGCCCCTCACCTGATGCTGTTGCTGTTGGTGGGGGCCCCACTGTTGCTATTGTTGGGGGGCCCCCAACGTCAGATGTAGGGGCCCCCTTCTTAGGGGGGAGCTCGTGGGCTGTTGAAATGAGGGTGTTGCGTAGCGAGTCGTTGCCTGCGTGAGGTGTACAGACACCTGGGGCTCCACATACAGACATACGGCGCCTACACCAAATACATGCATGCACATCAGGCTGCTGCTGCTGCTGCTGTTGTTGTGGTAGTGGTGGTGATGGGGAAGGCCCCCAACGCTGCAGCAGCAGGGGAGTTCTGCTGCTGCATGCAGCGACTTTCGCATGCAGACAAATTGTAAACGGGCATACGTCTATATGAGCTTCTAGAGCACCAGTGGCTAGCTAGCTAGCTACCTAGCTAACTGAAAGAGGATGTTATGCAATATATAATATTAGTATAGTATAATATATTGTAATGTAATATAATATAAATATATTAGATATGTAATACAAAACAACATAATGTAATGTAATATCCTCGTACTGAAAGGCAACAGCTAAAGGTGGGAGCATCATAAGTGGGCCCAACTCCCACATTACTATTATTATATTATTACAGTTATCATACGATAATATTACTAAGTTATTTTTATTATTATTCTGTCATCTCGATGTAGTAACAATAATTTCAATAATAAAAATGCATTATTTTAAATATTATCATATACTGTAGAAGAAGATGCATCTCATAGATATAGATATATATACCTTAGTCGTACATAGCGGCGAAACAAAAACAAAAATGTGAGCCACACACACCAGGACATCGAGGGGGAGGGGAGATAAAATAAAGTAGGAGAAAGAAAACTTTAAACCCGGTGTTTATTTGTATAAATAAAGGTTAATTATTTTAAAAAGAAAAAGAAAAAACAATTTTTTCACTGACTCCCTCAGGTGTATAGGCAGCTCCGATGACGGTCGGCGGCGGCAGTCGTCGATTACAGCATGCAGCCCCAATCACATATTTCTGTTTGTTTTCTTCTTGAGTTTTATGTGAAATAGTATTTAATTTGAAGCATTAATTTGCTTGGCATCATTTATTTACTTCTTTTTTCAGTTTTTTTCTTTTTTTCGCTGTCTTTCCCTCCGCTTTCCACCGTATTGCGCCGCCGACTGCCTACTCCCCACTTGAGGCCGTTGGTTGACTCATCGACATTATACTTTTTCTTTCTTCTCTTGTCGTCTACTTTCTCTTTTATTTTCTCTTTAACTAACTTTAAATACAGCTACAGAGGACAACAAGCTGTCTTTCCGATTTAATTGCGTGTTTCTTGTTTTTCTTTCCTGCTCTTTCACCCGTTGAGGGGATGGGGCTCTCTAAGAAGAGGCCCCTTAGGGGGGTTTTGCCTTTGTTTTCGTTTTTATGTTTGTTTTGTTTGTGCTCTCCTCTCTCCTTCATCTCAGCGGTGCGTACAATACACCCCAACTCCCCTCTTCTGTTGTTGCTCGCGCTGCCTCTCGCTTGTTAATGTCTTCTTGTCTGTCTCTTCTTTGCAGACAGCAGTAAACCAAACAACACCCTTAGGAATAAATCGAAAACCTTTTATATTCTTGTTTTTTCTCCTTTTCACTGTCTTCTGTCTCAGCTAAACTTCGGCGGCCGCAGCGGCGAGGCCGATGACTCCCTCTCTCCTGAGGGGCCCCCCTCAGGTGTCGGGGGGCCCCTTGGGGGCCTCCTTGAAGGACCTCTCGCGACCATCATCCCGCCCACAGCAGCAGCAGCAGTTTCTGCTGCTGCTACGGAGGCACCTGCTGCTGCTGCTGCCCCTCCGCAGCAGTCGCTCAAGGCCCGCAAGAGGACCCGGTCTGTCTTTTTCTTGGTGAAGAAATTTGTTTAGCTGCATGTACACCCCATTCCCTGACGCAATCGCGACGTTATTCAACTTTATGCATGTGTTATTGTATGCGTGCGCATGCAATAACACAAAGCATATATATATATATATATATATGTATAACATATATATATATGGATAGATACATGGATGTATACATAAAACTACATATATATAATATAATAAGATATATATACATTATATAATATATATATATATACAGTATAGTATTTCTTTGTGTTGATAATACAGGGTAGGAAGTATGACGGGCCGAGCGGCGTTTGCTTCTCGCGGTGTGAAGGACGAATGGAGAGACGAAGAAGATCTGCAAGTGATAGCTCCTCCTCAGCCTCGTTTCCCTCTGGTCTCTTGTTCTGCTGCTAAGGCTCTTGTCTGCATTGGAGGCATTGCAGCTGTCGGTGAGGCAACTTATAGATCTAAAGTCTAGGGTTTAGGGTTTAGGGTTTAGGGTTTAGGGTTTAGGTGGTTTTTGTTTGGTATGCCGCATGCACCGTATTTGGGGCTTGCCCCTGTTTTGTCTCTTGTTTGTTGCTTAGTATGTATTGATGTATTTGTTTGTTGCTGTATTTGTTTATATATATTGATTTATATATTTAAATATTTGTTTATTTTCATATTTGTTTGCTCTCTCTTAGGGGCAGTGTTGTCTCAACTAGGTGGCAGGTACTTGAAGCGAAGAAGACGAAGAAAGATGGGTTTAGAGGGGCCCCCATCTCCTTTCTCTCGGCTTTTAGGCCCCGTGTTGCTGCAGAATGCTGACGGCAAAGCAGCAGCAGGAGCAGCAGCAGCAGCAGGAGCAGGAGCAGCAGCAGCAGCAGAAAAAAGCTCTCTTATACCTGATTTCCTTAAGTTTAAACAAACTTTCAACGAAGCACCAACAAACAAAACACTCGGAGAGAAAGACAGCATCACAGCCCTCTACTTCACGGGCAAAGGCGTAGAACAAATCCTTCAAGTCAGAAACCCTAATCAATAAACCCTAATCAATAAACCCTAATAAATAAACCCTAATAAATAAATAAACCCTAATCAATAAACCCTAATAAATAAACAAACCCTCATGAATAAACCCTAATAAATAAACCCTAATAAATAAACCCTAATGCTTACGAAGTAAAACACCCAAAGATTCTCAAACGGCTTCAAGCACTTCGGGCTCTGTTTTTATTTTATCATTTTCTCTCCCTTTAGCAATTGCTTAGGGTTTAGGAGGGTGTATGAGGGTTTGTGAGGGTTTATGAGGGTTTATTAGGGTTTATGAGGGTTTATTAGGGTTTACGAGGGTTTATTAGGGTTTACGAAGGTTTATTAAGGCTTTTGAGGGTGTATTATGTTTATGAGGGTTTACGCGGATGTATGAGGATGGCTTGGGGTGTATAATTGTTTATTATATTATAAGCAATTATAATAGATTTATAATTGCTTACTAGATGTATTATTCCTTATTAGGTGTACATTTGTTTATTAAGGTGTATAGTTGTTTGTTAAGGCGTATTATTATTGTTTATTAGGGTGTATTGGGTTTATGCATATACATATACATATACATATATTATATATATATATATATATATATATATATATATTTGTTTTAGTAGCATCTAGAGTTGTTTGTTAGGGTTTATAATTGTTGATGAGGGCAAATGCTTGTATAGAAATCTGTACAAGTTATATGTATAAATGTTTAATTATTATGTCTTATTGTTATTAGGGTTTATAATAGAGGTTTAGTTTTATAGATTTTTAGGGTTTGTTTGCAGGCTAGGGGTTTTATGCCTTTTACTCCTCGCCTTAGGAGTATAGTAGAAGCAGCAAAAGAACAAGGAAAGAAATTAAATATTGTTTTTGTCTCTGCTGATAATAAACCTGAAGATGCAGCAGAACTCTTCAAAACCATGCCTTGGTATATACACTCCAAAACCCTAATATAAACCCTAATCAATATAAACCCTAATCAGTATAAACCCTATTTAATATAAACCCTACTCAATATAAACCCTACTCAATATAAACCCTAATCAATATAAACCCTACTCAATATAAACCCTAATCAATATAAACCCTACTCAATATAAACCCTACTCAATATAAACCCTAATCAATATAAACCCTAATCAATATAAACCCTAATCAGTATAAACCCTAATCAGTATAAACCCTAATCAATATAAACCCTATTGAATGAAAACCCTAATCAATGAAGACCCTAATTAGTATAAACCCTAATTAATATAAACCCTAATCAATATAAACCCTAATCAATAAACCCTAATCACTGTGAACCCTAATCAATGAAAACCATAATGAATGAAAACCCTAATTAATAAACCCTAATTAATAAACCCTAATTAATAAACCCTAATTCGTAAACCCTGCTTCGTAACCCTAATAAACCGTATCAAACCGTAATCTATAAACCCTAATAATCCCTATAAAGCCCTAATTAGTAGGCCCTAATGCGCCTTTGCTAATAACCCTTAATAAACCCTAATTCATAAACCCTAATTCAAAAACCCTAATTCAAAAACCCTAGTAAATCCTAGTAAACCCTTCGTCATGATTGCTATTCATCAGGCAGCGCCTCCCCCTATATCTTTCTTCTTTTGAATAGTTGTCTCTAATTCTCCAATATAAATCTAGAATTTAGGGGTTTGGGTTTAGGGTTTAGGGTTTAGGGTTTAGGGTTTAGGGTTTAGGGTTTGGGTTATTATGTGCAGGTACGCGGTACCGTTTGATGACGAGGAGGGCCGCGGTGTGGCTCGTTCTTTATATAGACGTTTTCGTGTTTCGTCTTTACCTCAATTGATATTATTAAATGATGAAGGGGTTGTTTATAATACTCAAGGATATTCTTCTCTTTTAACAGAGCCTTTAGGGTTTCCCTGGAAGAAGAAAAACATATTACAACTTATTGGGGATAAGCTCATTAATAATAAAGGCCAAGCTGTCAATCCTGTAAACCCTCAAACACTATTCAAATAAATAATAAATAAATTAAATAAATAAATTAAATAAATAAATAAATAAGCATTAAACCCTAAGTTATGTGCGCATTGTCTTTGTTTGTTTGTTTCTTTGTTTGTTTTTTTTTGTATGTTTCTGTCTTTTTGCCTCTGTTGATTTGTTTGTTTTAATTCTTTTTTCTTTTGTTTTGCTATTCAGGGTGTATTGACAGGAAAGACATTAGGTTTATACTTCAGCGCTTCTTGGTGTCCCCCTTGTGCTTCTTTTACGCCTAAGTTAAAAGAGATAGTGCAGAAATTAAGAGAACAGGATAAAAACTTTGAAATTATTTTTATTTCAAGTGATAAAGACGAAGACTCGTTTAAAAAATACTCTCAAGATATGGATTGGCTTTCGGTTCCTTTCAAAGAGGCAGCGACGCGCGCTGTGCTGCAGGTATTAACTTTTTTAAACCCTAAACCCTAAACCCTTCTTTAAACCCTAAACCCTAAACCCTTTTTTAAACCCTAAACCCTAAACCCTCTTGATACCCTAAACCCTAAACCCTCTTTACACCCTAAACCCTAAACCCTTTCTATACCCTGAACCCTAAACCCTTCTTTTAAACACTTTTTATACCCTACGCCCTGAACCCTCTCTATACCCTAAACCCTAAACCCTAAACCCTTTCTATACCCTAAACCCTTTCTCAACCCTAACCCCCTTTTTTAAACCCTTTTAAAGCTCTTTTAAGCCCTTCGTAGACCCTAAACCCCGAACCATTCTTTTGAAGTCTTCGTATAAACCCTCATAAACCCTTATAAACCCTCATAAACCCTTATAACCCCTCATAAGCCCTAATAAACCCTCATAAACCCTAATAAATCCTCATAAACCCTCAATAGCCCTCATAAACCGTGATAGTGTGTACATTGTGAAGCCTCTGCTTCTGCTGCGAAAGTCGCTGTTGTTTGCTGCTAACGAAGTAAAATGCATAAAAATAATATTTGAGGGTGCATCCGTACCTTGTCATTCGTTTATTTATTTATGTTTATTTATTTGTTTGTCGATATTTATTTATTTATTTATTTATTTATATATTTATTTATTTGTTTTACTTCGTTATTTATTTATGTATATATTTATTTATTTGCTTCTTTATTCATTTATTTATTTATTTGTTTGTTTATTTATTTGTTTGTTTGTTTACTTCCTTATTTATTTATTTACTTCTTTATTTATTTATTTATTCATCTACCTATTTATTTATTTATTTATTTATTTATTTATTTGTTTAGGACACCCTTGGGGTTCGCTCACTGCCGACTTTGATATGGGTGTCTCCTGAGGGTGAAATATTAACAAAACGAGGTGTATATGCAGCTTTAGAAGACAAAGAGGGTTTAGGGTTCCCCTGGAAAGAAGAGACAGTAAGAGATGCAGATAAAGCTCTTGAAGTACTTGCAGAGGAGCCTGTTTTGCTTGCTTTTATTGATAAGACAGACAAAGATACACAACAACAAATACTTCAGGTATGCATTATCAAGCCCTTAACTTATTACCCTTTTAACTCTCTCTTCTCTCTCTCTCTCTCTCTCTCTCTCTCTCTCTCTTTAAATATATATATATATATATATATATGCTTATGCATTTATCTATTTTTATAGGTGTATTATATAGGTAGATTATGTCGTGTCCGTACGTATCTATATATACATATATATATATATATATATATTTATATGTATCATTTATGTATATATTCTTATATGCGGATTAAAGTACTTGTGAACACACAAATAATGCAGCCCTTAGTCTCTTCAATATATATATATATATATTTATTTATTTATTTTCATATTAGTAGACGTATATATAGAAGTATATATAAGTATATGCATTATATGCATTTTAATGCATACGCTGAGGGTTTGTTGTTTTGTGAAGGAATATTTGTATGGATGTAAAATATATTTTTTATTTATCTCAAGTCCCTAGTGTTAAGGGTTTCGTGCTTGTCTAGGGTTTAGGGTTTAGGGTTTAGGGTTTAGGTGTGTGCACAGGTGCTCGAGGAGGCTGCTGATGAACTTAAATCTAAACAAAAAGGAGACAGCGCGGGGCCCCTCCCCCAGTTTTTGTTTGTTAAGGGACCATCGCCTCGCTCTGCAGCTCTTCGTTTAATTTGCAGAGAAGGAATAAGCGCAGCAGCAGCAGCTGCTGCTACTGCTGCTGCTGATCCTGCTGCTGCTGCTGATCCTGCTGCTGCTGCTGATCCTGCTGCTGCTGCTTCGAACAATGTCGCACTCGTGGGTTTACAATCACTGCACTCACCAACTTCTTCTAGGGTTTAGGGTTTAGGGTTTTCCGTAGGTTCTAGTGCTTGATGTTTATTGTATAGGGCTTAGTGTTGTGTGTTAGGGTTTAGTACTCAGGTTCTAGTGTTTAGGGTTTAGGGTTTAATGCTTGGGGTTTCGTGCTTGTTTACGGTATAGGGTTTAGTGCTCAGGGTTAAGGTTTAGGGTTTAGGGTTTAGCGCTCAGGGTTTAGGCTCTAGGATTTAGGGTTTTACTCTCACGGTTTAGGGTTTAGGGTTTCGGGTTGATAGCTTAGCTTTTAGGTTTTAGGGTTCAGAGTTTAGTACTCACGGTTTATGGTTTATAGTATTAGGGTTTAGGGTTTAGGGTTTAGGGTTTAGGGTTTAGGGTTTAGGGTTTAGGGTTTAGGGTTCTTTAGGGTTATTAGGGTTTAGGGTTTAGGGTTTAGGGTTTAGGGTTTAGGGTTTAGGGTTTAGGGTTTAGGGTTTGAGTAGGGTTTAGGGTTATTAGGGTTTAGGGTTTAGGGTTTAGGGTTTAGGGTTTAGGGTTTAGGGTTTAGGGTTTAGGGTTCTTTTTAGGGTTTTAGGGTTTAGGGTTTAGGGTTTAGGGTTTAGGGTTTAGGGTTTAGGGTTTAGGGTGTTTGTGCAGGTGATTTTGGATGTTTTTACTCAAAAGGTCTACGCCTTCCCGTATCCCTCCAAACAAATCACAAAAAATAATATTTTAGAGTTTGTAAATAAATTCCGAAATGAAGAACTCCAGGGAAAACCCCTCGCCCTGCCAGAGTAGGGTTTAGGGTTTAGGGTTTAGGGTTTAGGGTTTAGGGTTTGGGGGCCCCTGCATTGCAGGGTTTGGGGCCCCTTTCTGCTTTGGAAGAGGCGGGGGGGGGCCCTGGGGAGTCCCCAGGGGCCCCCTAGGGAGAACAGCTCTCTCTTTGGGGTGTATGCACAGATATAGCTTTATTGCTTTTCTTTCTTTATCTGCTAGCTAAACAAAAACAATAAAAGAAGCTGCGTCTTGTAAAGCCCTAACGCTGCATGCAGCGCCATTCGCAAGCATTAGCAGCAGTAGCAGCAGCAAAAGGAACAGCAGCAACAGCAGCAGCAGGAACAGCTGCTGCACTAGCAGCAGAAGGAGCAGCAACAGCAGCAGCAAAAACAGTTGCTCTATCAGCACAAACAGTACCAGCAGCAACAGAAACAGTAGCAGCAACAACAGAAACAGCAGCAGCAGCAGCAGCACAGCAGCAGCAGGAACGGAGACAGTAGCTGCAACAACAGTAGTAGTAGCAGGAGCAGCAGAAACAGTACAGCAGCAGCAGGAACAGCAGCAGCAGCAGCAGCAGAAACAGTTGCAGCAGCAGCAGGAACAGCAGCAGCAGCAGCAGCAGTTCTCCTTAAAGCGGAGCATGAATAGGGCACAATACTGGCTTATGCGAGAAGGGTTTAGGGTTTAGGGTTTAGAGTTTATAGATTAAGTTTGTTATTCAGCAGGTAAGAAAAGAAGCAACATGGGGCCCCAGCGCATTGGCAGGGGCCCCTCTATCTGCAGCTTCTCTGAAGGGGGCCCCCCTTGAGGTTTCGCTGGCTCTGTCTTTGGAGTGCACTCTCCTACAGGGGCCCCCACTGCTCCTCAGGGGCCCCCAGAGGCCTTCAGCACTCCCCAACGGGCCTTCAAGGGCCCTCAAGTGCCTCAGGGGCCCCCAGGGGCCCCCAGGGGCCCTCAAGTGCCTCAGGGGCCCCCAGGGGCCCTCAAGTGCCCCAGGGGCCCCCAGGGGCCCCCATAGGCCCTCCACGACGGGGGCCCCCCGGGGGCCCTCGAGGGAGGGCCCCGAGGGGACCTTGGGGAGGGGCCCACAGGGACGGTCCCACAGAGAGGGGCCCCAAGGGTATCCCAGGGAGGGGCCCCCAGAGGCCCCCAGGGAGGGCCCCCAGAGGCCCCCAGGTAGGGGCCCCAAGGGGGGCCCCCCGTCGTTAAAGCCCTTGTGGTGGGGGGGGCCCCTGGGGGCCCCTGGAGTTACTGTTGGATTTTGGCTTAACCCAATCTCGGGCCCCCAAAGCAGCAGCAATTTTACTGAGGACGGGGAGGCCCATGAGGCCCCCCAGGCGAAGCTGCAAGGAGTGAGACTGCTGCAGCCCCCCACCCTTGCTGCTGCTGCTGCTGCTGCTGCTGTTGTTGCTGTTGTTGCTGCTGTTGCTGCGTTTCTGAGGCGAGTGCTGTTCTCTGTGTGCTTCACATTGCTGCTGCAACAAATCTTCTGGAGGGCCCCCTGCTCTAGCTGCTGCTAAAGGAGGGAGGCCCCCCCCACAGGGGGGGCCCCCCACGGTGCCTCTCCGTCTTTCGCTTTGATATCTGGGGGCCCCCGCAGGCCCCATTGAATCTCTAAGGGATCGTAGGGGGCCCCTCAGGTCTCTGGGGGGCCCCCCTCCAGTGCTCCTCCGCTGCTGCACTTTGCTTATCAGTATCCCTTTGGGGGCCCCTGCGCTGCTGCAACGACCTCCAACAGCGGGCACCCCAACGGAATCCAAAGGAGGGGGCCCCCGAAGGGGGCCCCCACCAAAGGGGGCCCCCCCAAGTGGGGGCCCCCCCCTTTCGTGCGTGGTGCTGCGGCACCGCTGAGGCGGCCCCTGTTCTGCTGCTCTGTTGTTCTGCTGGGAAGCTGCAGCAACAGCACCAATAGCAGCAGCAGCAGGAACTGCAGGCGCAGCAGCAGCAGAACCCAGGGGGCCCCCTGGGGCCCCTGGGGCCTCAGGGGCCCCCCGGGGTCCCTGAGGAGGCTGGGTAGCGAGGCGCCTCCTTCCTTGAACCCCAGCAACGAAGTAGCGGTGGAGATGGGGGGCCCTTTGGAGCTGCATGCGGTTAGGGCGGGGGCCCTCACTAGAAGAAGGAGAAGTAGGAGAAGACGAAGAAGAAGAAGGGGGCCCCCGTGGGGGGCCCCCCCATGAGCCCTCTTGGGGCCCCCCTTCTTGAAATTTAGGCTGAGCCCCACCACCTGCAACGCTCCCGTTTTCTTTGGGGGGCTCCCACCCTTGACCTTGGCTTCGCCCCCGCACAGGGGCCCCTTGGGGGGCCCCCACAGGGGCCCCTACAGGGGCCCTCGGGGCCCCTAGGGGGGCCCCTACAGGGGTGTTGTGCTGCTGTACTGGGGCCTCGCTGCTGACTGCATAGCGCTGCAGGGCTACGGGGCCCTCAGCAATTAAAGGCCCCTGTCTGTTGTCTCCCCTTTGAGGGTTTAAGGGGTAAGAAGGGGCCCCAGCGCTGCTGACTGGACGGGGGCCCCCTGGGTACTGCCTTGGGGGCCCCCTGCTGCTGCTGTTGCTGCTGCTACTGCTGCTGCTGCTGCTGCACGAAAAGCCTTCTTCGGCCTTCCAACTCTCCACATCACGTCTCTCCATTGCCACCAGCAACTCCTGCTGCTGCTGCTGCTGCTGCTGCTGCTGCTGCTGCTTATGGCTGCTCAGTTCAGCAGCAGCTGATGCGCAGCTGTCTCCCTTCTGAGGTTTGCCTGCGCACCAAACGGCAGTCCCCCCAGAACCCTCAATGTCCTCTACAGTGGGGCCCCCAGGGGCCCCAAGGGCTCCAAGGGCTCCAAGGGCCCCAGGGCCCCCAAGGCCCCCAGGGGCCCCAGGCACCCTTTGGGGGCCCGCAGGGCTCCCAAGGCCCCCAGGGGCCCCAGGGGCCCCACGGCCCCTAGAGACCCCAAGGGCCTCAGGGGCTCCAGGCACCCTATGGGGGCCCCCACGGGGGCCCCCAGGGTCCCCATGGGGGGCCCCAGGGGCCCTAGGCACTTCGTGGGGGCTCCCAGGGTCCCCAAGGCTCCAAGGGGCCCCAGTGCCCCCGTGGGGGCCCCGAGGGCCTTCATCGACCTGATTTGTTTGTGCATTTGTTTGGATATTAAGGTTTTGTGTATGGGGTGTATAGGCAGGTTGTTGTAGTGGTTTGCTGTGAATGATGCTGTTGATGTCTTGCGTTTCTTGTTTTTTGTTTTGCTGCTGCACTTCTTTTGTAAAGCTACAGAAATCCATATTCAGGTGCTCTGGTGTATAAGGAGGGGCCCCCAGAAGGATATGCTGGGGGCCCCCAAGGGGCCCTTCTCCCGTACCCTTGTGCTGCTGCAGCGCTTCCACTGAAGGCTGAGCTGCGCGCTGCTGCCAGGGGCCCTGGGAACTGTGTGGCCCCTGCTGCTGCTGCTGCTGCTGTTGCTGCTGCTGCTGCTGTTGCTGCTGCTGCTGCTGCTGTTGCTGCTGCTGCTGCTGTGGGGAGAGAGAAGGGCTAGCAAAATGGCGTTGGTTATCCACAGAAAGAGGAGAGACAAACAAAGAAGGGCTGCATGCAGAACTCAGGGGGCCCCCCCCGGACACAGTCGCGGGAGGGTGGTCTTGGGGCTCGCTCCCAACTGCTGCTGCTGCTGCTGCTGTTGCTGATGCTGCTGTTGCTGCTGCTGGAGTTGTTGGTGGTGCTGCTGCTGCTGCTTCTGCTGCTGCTGCTGGTGGTGGGACATCAGCATCAGCACCAGTCGCTGCAGCAGTAGCAGCAGCAGCAGCAGCAGCAGCAGCAGGGCTGCTGCTGCTGCTGCTGCTGCTGCTATGGCTTCCACTCCCCGCCTGGTTCATTTGGGGGCCCCCCCAATCTGAGGGGCCCTCTGATGATACTGGGCAGCAAACAAGTGCAGCAAGGGGGCCCCTGGAGGCTCTTGCAGACTCTGCTACAGCGACTGTAAAAGAAGAGACAGGAGACACCACTGAACTGCAGCGGGAAGCTCCAACCCTCTGCTGCTGCTGCTGCTGCTGCTGTTGCTGCTGCTGCATGCGAGAGACCGCAGCAGCGGCTGCGGCGAGGACGCCAGCTGTTGCAGCTGCTGCTGTTGCTGCTGTTGCTACTGCTGCTGCTGCTGCTACTGCCTCAAGGGAAGCAGCAGCACCTCCACCAGCCGCTCGCGAGGAGACAGCGCAATTCAGCCCCTCTTCGCACCTCTCACCACTGGGCCCTGCTGCTGCTGCTGCTGCTGCTACTGCTGCTGCTGCTGCTGCTGCTGCCTCTCCCGGAGGAGCCGACGCGTTGGAAGTCTGAAAGACAAACAACCAAATTACGGGCTTGGGTCTACAGTGAACCGTTTAGGGTTTAGGGTTTAGGGTTTAGGGTTTAGGGTTTATGTTGTTATGCACAAGTTCTCCTCTCCCTCTTGACGCTCTCCTCTCTGCTAAAACTTTAACTTCATTACTACAGGCATGGCTAGCTGTTTGTATAGCTAGCCAGCTGTTTGGCTAGCTAGCTAGCTGTTCTTCTAGCTTGCTGTTTGTCTATCTAGCTAGCTGTTTATCTAGCTAGCTGTTTATCTAGCTAGCTGTTGGCTATCTGACTTGCACTTGTATGGCGGCTGCATCGCCCTCAACCCAGCTACCTAGCTAGCTAGGTAGCTAGCTATCTAGGTAGGGTGCTTACAGTTGTGGTGTAGTCAAGGAGACATTTGCCTGAGAGGCTGCTGCTGCTTTCTGTTGTCTCCTCAGGTCGACAAGATGCTGCTGGAGGGGCGCTGTTGAAGAAAGGAATACCTTCATCTTGCTGCTGCTGCTGCTGCAGCTGCTGCTGCAGCTGCTGCTGCTGCAGCAGCTGCGGAGACTCAGGGCACAGCCTGCCTGAGATGCACTCCTGCTGCGTCTCCCCAGCCCTAATGGAGAGGAGCTCCCTTTGCTGCTGTTGCTGCTGCTGCTGCTGTTGCTGCTGCTGCTGAAAGGTTTGCGCTGGTAATCTCTTCTGGAAAGTGTTTTCAAGGGTTTGCGCGGGTTGTGCTGCTGCTGCTGCTGTTGTTGCTGCTGCTGCTGCAGTCCTCGCTGTTGGTTCAGGTGCAGCTGTTTGCTGCATCGGAGCAGCAGCTGCTACTGCAAATTTCTCAGCTTGATGTGCTGCTGCTGCTGCTGCTGCTGCTGCTGCTGGGTGTGGGGTTACGATTTGTGTATCTGCTGCAACAGCTGCCGCACAAATGTCTGCAGCAGCAGCATGAGGACCCTCAGCAGCATCATCCGCAGCATTAGGATTAGCAGCATCACTAGCAGCAGCAGCAGCAGCAGGAGCAGGAGCAGCAAGAGGGCGTTTAATCTTATAGAACCAAGGGTGTGTAAGAGCTTGAACAGCAGCACAACGTCTTGATTGCTGCTTAGAGCACATCCATCCTATTAAATCTTTTGCTGAGTGGCTCACACCCCTCCAAACATTGTGCGAAAAATTCAACTGACACCTGAAATTCAACACATATACAAACCTTTTCCATATATGCATGCATGCATGCATGCATGCATGCATCAATGCATGCATATTGCATGCAATATGCATGCATGCGTGCATATTGCATGCATGCATGCAGATATTATCCATGCACGCATGCATGCATGCAGCAATATGCATGCACGCAAACAATATCCATGCATGCATGCATGCATGCAACAATCTGCTGGCATACAAACACTATCTATGCATGCATGCATGCAAACACTCACGACAAGATACAACAATTAGTATTTTTATTTTTATTAGATACGAAATAAAATATATATTATATGTTACATTATACGCTATGTAGGTATAATAGGGTATATTAGACATTATATATATATTTTATATATTATATATACATGTATATATCTACTATATAATAGGGCATAAGATAATATATATAACAGGGCATAACAGGGCTTAATATATATATATATACATATATATATGTATATACATTTATATATATATATACATATATATATATATATTATCAAATAGGGTATAATATGGTATAGAATATTATATATATAATAAATACTATATACTAGGGAGCAATATATTATAACAAATAAATAAATATGTATATATATATATATATTTATTTATTTATTCTAAACCAGGTTTTCCTAGTGTATAACACCCATACATATATATATATATATACATATATATATATATATATATATATATATATATATATATACATATATATATATGTATATATATATAATTGTACTAACAATACAAAACATAAACTACGAGCACAAAAGAATACGAAATAATATAAAAAAGAGTTAAATATACTACCTGAGGTTTTTCTTTAATATTTCTTTGACATTTTGGCCTCTAAACGGTGGAAAGCCGCCTAAAAGTGTAAACAAAATTACACCCGAACTGAACACGTCTACCTTAGGCCCGTACGGTAAATCCTGAAGAATTTCAGGCGCTGCAAATGCAAAACACACAATCGTCTACGGTCTAGGGTTTAGGGTTTAGGGTTTAGGGGATGGGGTTTAGGGTTTAGAGGATGGGGTTTAGGGTTTAGGGTTTAGGGTTTAGGGTTTAGAAAACATAACAAATTCAAAAATATCGACTAAACAAACAAACAGTGGTGGAGATGTTGCAGCAGCAGCAACAACAGCAACAGCAGCAGCAGCAACACCAGTATAGAAGCAGCAGCAGCAGCAACATCGTCATCATCCGGAGCAGCAGCAACAGCACTACCACCACCAGCAGCCGTAACATCAGCAGCAGCACCAACAGCACCACCAACAGCAGCGCCAGCAGCAGCGCCAGCAGCAGCAGCAGCGCCAGCAGCAGCAGCAGCAGCAACAGCAGCAGCAGCAACAGCAGCAGCAGCAGCAGACTAACCAACATATCCGGGGGATCCGCACCGCATTTTCATCGCCGGTGAGCCGACGGTGGCAGCCAAACCAAAGTCAATGATTTTGATAGAAGCAGGGTTTGAAGGGTTTTCTATAATGAGGTTTTCAGTCTGCATGCATTAATAATAATAATAAATAGTAATAATAATAATAAATAAATATGTAAATTCTAATAAATATGTAAACAGCTAGACAAAAGTATATATATAAGTAAAGAAATATAAATATATATATATATATGCATATATATATATATACTTGTATATATATACTTATATATATATATATTTTAGATACGTAATTATATTACTTTGAGGTCTCTATGAACAATCCCCTTAGCATGTATAATAACACAAAAAATATGTATAAAAATTACATATCTAAATAAATAAATAAATAAATAAATCTAAACAAGCAAATAGATAAATAAGTAAACAAACAAACAAATAAATATAAATAAAAACAAACAACTAAACAAACACTTAAACAACTAAACAAACAAATAAATAAGTAAAATAAATATAATATATATAATTATATTACTTTGAGGTCTCTATGAACAATGCCCTTAGCATGTATTTCTTGAAGTGCAAGTAGAACGCGACGAATCGCAAATTTTGCCTGACTTTCTGTCAGGGGTCCGTTTACAGATAAATACTCAAATAACTCTCCTCCTCTTAAATGTTCTAATACCAGACAAACAAAGTCTTCTGCATCATAAAACAACAAACATATCTATATATATATATATATATCTATATTTATTTATTTGTTTGTTTGTTTTTTTAGGTTTAGTTGTATGTTGATGTGCGATTTTTATATTTTCTTTTAAGAAAAGTAATATTTGTCTGCTGATGTTTTCTTTAATAGTCTTTTATATAACATATTATATATATCATATAATATATATATATAATATATATATGCAGGTACATGGATGCATATATATTTCTGTCTCCTTTTAACTGTCTCTGTCTGTTGTTATCTGTTTCTTCGTCTCTTCTTTTATCTGTCTTTTATCTGTCTCTCTTTGTTTTTGTTTTTTATGTCTTTGTTCTTCTCTACCGTTTTTATGTTGTTTGCTTGCTGCTGTCTGTCTCTCGTTTTTTATTTGACTCTGTCTCCTTTGTCTCTCTCTCTCTTTTGCTCCTGCAGCCTCTAACCCTAAACCCTAAACCCTAAACCCTAAACCCTAAGCACCTGTATCTCCCTTTTTACTATTACTTTATTCAGGACCCTAAACCCTAAACCCTAAACCCTAAACCCTAAGCTTGTTTGAAGTAGGTGTATATGTGTGGGGTGTATGCTTGTCTCGTTTTTGTGGCTGTCTTCTGTCTCTGTCTGTCTGTCTCCTTGTCTCTCTTTTATTTGTTTTACTTTCGTTTTTTATTTATTTTTATGTTTGTTCTCCCTCTGTTGTGTGCTAAGCTCAAGATAGAGACAGAGACAGACAAATATTGTTTAAACAGACAAACAACAGCAGCAGAGACAGACACACGGTATACAGAAGAAACAAAAACAGCAGCATCAGCAGCAACATCAGCAGCAGCAGCATCAGAAGCTGCAGCAGGTGCAGCAGCAGCAGCACCAACCCCAGCCAACCCCGCCAGCAGCAGCATCAGCAGCGTCAGCAGCATCAGCAGCATCAGCAGGAAGCAAAGAAGAAGAGGAAGAAGAGTAGAATAAGAAGAGCATTGCATGCATGATAATTTAAGCTGTATATACAGCCTAACCTTGTTCATAAGCTGCATATAGACGCATAACATAAGGATGCGATATTCTTCTCAGTACTTCTATCTCCGTGTAAATGTTTGACTCCACAACCTTCTTCTTATCTACAGCCTTCACAACAACCTGTTCTCCAGTAAACAAGTGCTCGCCTACATATACCTTGGCAAAACTACCTTCTCCTGCAGCAGCAGCAGCAGCAGCAGCAGCAGCAGCAGCAGCAGCAGTAGCAGCAGCAGCAGCAGCAGCGGCAGAAAAAATTATAAAATTTTCAATGCAAATAATTATATACATATAGATAAATAATGCAAATGCATGCACATATATTTATATGGTTGCTGAACATGTTGCTGTTGCTGCTGCTGCTGCTGCTGCTGCTGCTGCTCATGCTGCTCATACTGCTGCTCTTGCCCGTGTTGTTGCTGCTGCTGCTGCTGTTGCTGAGGCCGCAGGTGTTGCTGCTGATGCAGCACCACAAGCAGAAACAGCAGCGGAAACAACAGCAGCAGAAGCAGCAACAGCAGCAGAAAGGAAGCAGAAGCACAAGCAGCACAAGCATCAGCAGCATCAGCAGCAGATGCAGCAAAACAAACAGCAGCAGCAGCAGCAAAAACAACAGCAGCAGAAACAGCTTTCCTCATGTCCTGTCTATGCAGCCGCCTCTGGTGAGCATAATAACACAAAACAAACAAAACAAAAAAAACAAAAGAAAAAGAAAACAGCCGAAGAAAAAATAAAATATTTTTAACTGTGGATATTAAAATGCAGCAGCGAGACGCAGATGTAGATGTCGACATAAATATATAAATATATAAATATATATATATATATATATTTATATTTATATATATATATATATATATCTGTTTCTTTGTATATTTTATTGTTGCATTATTATAATATAGATAAATACACGCAGAAGAATAATAAAAAGGACGATTAAAAAGTATTTCTTTCGTATCAAGTAAATCCACAAGACGGCGTAATATATATATATATATATATTTATATGTTTATTTATTTATTTATTTTATTATGTATATGCATATATACATGTATATGTCTATATGTACATATATATATATATATAGATATAGATATTACACCGTCTTGTCGACATAGGTATACATACATATATATATGCATATATATTTATATGCATATATATATATATATATGTATATATATACGTGCATATATATTTATATATATATGCATATATATTTTATACTAGTGTTCATATATATATATATATATATATAAATATTGCTTCTTTCTCTTTTTATACTATTAGTACAATAACAATAAAACAAAGCATCGGACTGTGAACAAAAACAATAACTAAAAGAATTATATCATACCCATGCAATCCACAAGACATACATATATATCTATATATAAATCTTTATAATTTTTTTTTTATCGTTGTATTACTGCAATAACAATAAAAGCAAAGTATAAGACGAGGAGTAAAAATAACAAAGAGAAGAAAAATATCTTATCAAAGAAATCTACAAAATGATAGAGATATATATATATATATATATACATATATACATGCATATATGCATATATACGTATATACATATATATATAATATCTATATATATACATATCTGTTTTCTATGCTTCTATTACTATAAATCAACAAAGTTAACAATAATAAAGAATAAGAGTATAAATAATAAACAAAAGAAAAATATCTTACCGATGAAGTCGACAAGGCGATAGAGATCAGTAAACCTCAACAGAGAGACTCCTAACTCTTGTAGCGCTGCTACCCACTCTTCGCAAACTTCTCGAGATAAACACTGAAATTCAAATTCTCCAGCACAAGATATTATATATAAACAGGGCCTGCATGCATGCACATATATGTATATATATATATATATATATACATATATATATATATATATATATATGCATATGTAGATATAGATATAGATATAGTTATAGATATATAGATATAAATAGATATATATAGGTATATAGGTATATAGGTATATATACGAAATTCAGATATTCCCCAGCACAAGATATTATATATAAACAGGGCTTGCATGCATGCATATAGACACCCAACATATCTGTATAAAGATATTATTATGCATGCATATATATATATATATATATATATATATATATATAAGCATACTATATATAAAACAAGGCCTGCATACACCCCACACCTACATACAGAAAGAGACAAAGACAAAGAGACAGACAGACAAAGACAGACAAACATAGAGGGGGACAGAGAAGGATGACGGAGGCATCATAAGATTGTTATTTCTGCTGTCTCCTTTATTTATGCTGTCTCTTTTACTTGTCCCCTCACCCCAACTCAGTGATATTATTGACGACTCTCGCGCCCTTCAGTGGGATTGAAAAAAGAGGAAAAAGAGAATCCTCCCGCACCCAACAGCAAAGAAAGGGGGGCCCCACGGGGGGCCCCTGTGGGGTGTGGGGTGCGACGATCCCACGACTGGGATCGACGATCCCACGACTGGGATCCACGACCCCACACTGGGAGTCAAGGCCTGGGGGCGTATCGAACTCGATCGACACCCAACGAGTTGCACCTGTAACAAGAGGCAGCTCTGTCTTCACTTGAACATGGTGCTGCTGCCGATGCTGCTGCTGCTGAACCTGATGCTGCTGAACCTGCTGCTGCTGCTGAATCTGCTGCTGCTGTACCTGCTGCTGAACCTGCTGCTGCTGCTGCTGTTGCTGCTGCTGAACTTGTTGCTGAACTTGCTGCTGCCACGCCATCGTCTTATCCCCTATTAGGGGTGTCTTTATATTTAATTGTCTTTCGATGAAGGCCTTTGATGCAAAATAAAAATTTTATAAATAATAATACCCTCTACACCCCGCCACATCACAGGCTCCAGCTGTACGTACACCCTACACCCCACATAGAACAAACTGCAACGAGTAATGAATCGACGTGGCTGTCAAACCCTTCAACTTCTGCTTCTGCTGCTGCTGCTGCTACTCCACACTTCGCTAGTGCTGCTCCCGTCGCTGTTGCTGCCGCTGCTGCTGCAGCGGGGATCGCAGCGACACTTGTTGCTGCTGCAGCAACTGATGCTGCTGAACCTGCTGCTGGTGCTGCAAGCGCTGCTGCTGTTGGTTGGAGTCGAGTAACGTCTCTATGGGTTCTTTCTGCTGTCGCCGTTGCTGCTGCTGTAGCTGCTGCTGCTGCTGCGGCTGCTGCTGCTGCACGAGCCAACCATTGATGGTCCCTCTGCCCTTCTTGGTGATGCCCTGCTTTTGCGATTGCAGCAGTAGGTGTTAGTGTTGCTGTTGCTGCTGCTGTGCTTGCTGCTGCTGCTGCGTTTGCTGCTGCTTCTGCTGCTGCTGCCGCTGCTGCTGCTGCTAGGCAGAGAATGTGTGCCTCCTCGGCCTAAAGAGAGAGTCTATGGAGTGCTGGAGCCCCTCAGCACCCTCAACATGGCTCACATCAAGAGGGTTTAATCTCCAGCATTGAAATGGAGGGTTTAGGGTTTAGGGTTTAGGGTTTAGGGTTTAGGGTTTAGGCGAGGCATGAGGAGGAGGGGTCTGCGTGTTGCAGCGAAGAAGTTAGTCGCCAGTGCAACTGGTGGAGCTTCTTCTGCTTCTGCTGTTGTTACTGCATCAGCAGCTGCTGCTGTTGCTGCTGCTGTTGCTGCTGCTGCAGTCGGCTGCGGTTGCCGCTGCTGCTGCAGCAAGCAGCCGGCCAGCGTTGCGGCAGCAGCAGATGAGGGTGTTGTGGAATTCTCTTTGTTGCTGCTGCTGCAAGGAGAGCGTTTGTGTGGAGAAGAATGTGCTGGCGACGTGCGCAGCAGCACAAGCAGCAGCAGCAGCAGCAGCAGCAGCAGCAGCAGACGAAGGCTGCGCAGCAGCTACACTGCAGTGCAGCTGCTCGAAGCAAGAGAAGAAAAAAGAGTTATATTCATAAGAGAGGCGAACTACAAACATATACAACTTTGCCTTCTTTTATCATAACACAGCCATGCAGCAGCAGCAGCAGCAACATGAACCAGCTGCTGCTGCTGCTGCTGCTGCTGCTGCTGTTCCGCAGACCAGCAACAGCAGCTGCAGCAACATCAACAGCAGCAGCAGCAGCAGCATTGTGTTAATGCCTTTAAATTAAAATGTTTCTGCTTTATATATATAGTTTGTGTTTTAATTACCTTTTCTTTTTTTCCTGCTGCAGCAGCATCTTCATATCTGCAGCACCTCCCTCACAAAGGGCTTCGATATCGATATAGCCAATGGCCCACGGGGTGTATAGGCACCTCTTAGAGTTCCTTCACCTTCTTTTTATTCTCTTTTGTCTTTATATACAAATATATCAACCATTCGATCTCTCCTGCACCCTGGGATCGCCTCCATCCACACACACAGAGTTGCAGTGACACCCCAGGAGGTGCAGTGACACCTGGGGAGCTGCAGTGACACCCCAAGAGCTGCATTGACACCCCAAGAGGTGCAGTGACACCTGGGGAGCTGCAGTGACACCTGGGGAGCTGCAGTGACACCCGCGGAGCTGCAGTGACACCCGGGGAGCTGCAGTGACACCCGGGGAGTTGCATTCGTTTGGTGGGACGCGAGGCAAAGGGCTGCTGTAGGGGCCCTGTCTGTTGCTGTTGCGCGTTGCTGTTGCTTGCTGCTACTTCGTGCTGCTGCTGCTGCTGCTGCTTCGTGTTGCTGGTGTTGCTGCTGCTATAGCGGAAGCTCAGCAGCATCAGACGGTGAGGTATGTGCATTAATAATGTATCTTGGTCTGAATAGAAGTGTGTGAACACGAGGTGTACAGACAGCTGGAGGTTCGTTAGCTGGGTTTGGAAGGCAGGGCAGTGAGGGAGGCGTCTTACGGTGTACAGACACCTGAGGGGGACTTCAGGTGTCTGTACACCTCATGTGCAGAAGGAAGAGCGGGGGCCCTTCGCTTTGTCGGAGTTGGATGTCTGCTGCAGTGTATATACACCTGAAGCTGCTGCACGTGCTAGAGTGTATGTATGCCTGCTACTCACTCTGCCCTATGCACTGTGGCGAGGTTTGCATTTCAGGGTTTAGGGTTTAGGGTTTAGGGTTTAGCGAAACCCGCTAGGGGATGCTGTCTACTAAGGTTTATAATCTACAGCTTTTAGGGTTTAGGGTTTAGGGTTAAGGGTTAGTGTTGTTATTGCAGTGTCTGTTGGGTCTTAGGGTCTGCACTGCTGCTGCCCATAATAGCTTGATACGAGACGGAGGCAATTTCAGCAAATCTGAAAGCATTCACGTTACTGTTGCCCTTTATCTGCTGCTGCTGTTGCTGCTGCTGCTGCTATTGCTGCTGTTGCTGCTGTTGCTGCTGCTGCTCCAGCATGCTGAGGCAGCCAGAAGGTCGCACACCTCATGGCACTCAAAGGGGTGTCTCTCTGGGAGCGGCCTCCCCTCTTCTGTAGCTGACTAGGGGGTTGAAGCCCCTCTTGGCTACCTATGTAGCTAGCTAGCTAGCTAGCTAGCTAGCTATCCAGGTAGCTACGTAGCTAGCCAGTTAGGTAGCTATCTAGTGAGCCTTTCCATACGGAAGACACATGGGAGAGACAGAAAAAGGAGGGAGGCTGAGGGGGCCCCCACAGGAAGAACAGAGACAAGAAGGGCGATTGAGGTGTATATACAGCTGAAGAGTTTGCGTTTTGTCTCGCCTATAGAAGACAAAGCTTCCCTGGGGTGTATGGGTAGGTTTTTTTTGCTTTGTTTAGTTAGGTTGTTCAGTGGAACTTAATATAATAAATATAATCAATAACAGACAAAGAAAAGCAGAGAAATACAGAAATAAACAACTAAAATGCTCTTTAAATAATCAAAGAAACGAAATGTAGACAGCTCCCGTGGCTCAGTTGGTTAGAGCGTTGGTCTTATGAACCGAAGGTCAGGGGTTCGAGCCCCCTCGGGAGCACTTTAAGAAGTCGATTAATTAAGGTTAAAAGTGTTTTATTTTCATTTATTACTTATTATTTAATGTTATTTCTTATTTAATTTATTTTCCTCAAACAAATTCAAACAAATTTCTGCAAGCGAAGCACCAACCACTAAGTAGTGTATGCCTAGAGGCTTCGCTTCTTTACAGGGGCTTCTCTCTCTCTTAAACTTTACATTATATTACATTGTTATTATTATTACTATTATTATTATAATTATATTATATTTTATTTTAGTATATTATTGAATTTTAATTTCGTTTCATTCATAGACAACATATCCTATGGGGGGCCTCCCCTCTTGATTTTTTTTCTTGTTCTCTCTTGGCTCTCTGTCTATGTTTAAATCTGTTCAAAGCCTTTGCTGCATTTCTTTATTTATTTTTCTTTCTCTTACTCTGTCTCCCTAGAGGAGAGGGGCCCTCCTCTCATCTCTTTACGCCCGCGTCTGTGTCCTTATTAGGGGCCCCGGCAGCAGCAGCAGCAGCAGCAACAGTAGCAACAGCAGCAGCAGCAACAACAACAACAACAACAGCAACAGCAACAGCAACACCAGCAGCAACAGCAACAGCAGCAACAGCAGCAACAGCAGCAGCAGCAGCAGACAACGCAAGGAAGGGGCCCCTGGGGGCCCCCAAGCTGTGCCCTGCATGGCTGTTCAGGCGTTCATTTTGCTGCTGCTCGCCATTGTGCGGGAGGCGGCTTTGGCTGGGGGCCCCTATAGAATAGAGGGGGGGGGCCCCCAGGTAGCAGCAGCTCTTCTTAGAACCCCGCAGCTAAATCTACTGCGAGGGATAAGCACCAGGTACTGCAGCAGCAGATACGCATTAACCCGTGAGGCTGCAGCAGCAGAAACAGCAGCAGCACCACCAATAGCAGCAGCAAAGACAACAGCAGCAGCAACAACAACAAATTCAACTGCTGGGAAACCTGTATGGGCCCCTGCTTATCTAGGGCCCCTGCAGCTCCCGTCGAGCAGCAGAGCAAAGCTTCATAGCAGCAGCAGCAGCAACAGCAGCAGCAGCAGCAGCAGCAGCAGCCTTTTTGCTGCTAGGAGGACCGGTGTTGCTGTGCCTGAAGACATTCGCGACTTTGGCCGTGTGACAATATACCACTGGCTCAAACCCACCCTCACGCAGCAGCAGCTGCAGCAGCTGCAGCAGCAGCACGAGCAGCAGCAGCAGCAACGGCAGCAGCAACAGCAGCAGCAGCATGCGGAACAGCAACCAGGGGGCCTCTTGGGGCCCCTCAGTTACTTTTATGATTTCGACTTACATCTGCAGCGCGTAGGCGCTGCTGCATACTATGAGGGAGCAGCAGCAGCAGCAGCAGAGGCAGAAGCAGCAGCA